GCTAACGTATTGATATAAATGTACCTAATGTATTGGCATTGTTTACAATTTGCTGGATAAGATTAAAACAAATTTAAGAAGAAGCTACTTTCGATTTCTATGGTCAATAAATTGGTAAGTCTTCTCTTATCTTTTCAAAAATGTTATAGTTATTAATTTTGATCCATGCTACTTTGGAAGGAATGTGATTCTCCTATTTCTTTGTGATATAAATAATATCAATTAAAGTTTGTATATTTGTTCTAGGTTGCCTAATTATTAAATAGTATTTTTTTTTCTTAATCAGTTTGTGAGAAGATGAGTATTCCGTAGGGGTGTACATGGACCGGGTTGGTTCGGTTTCTATCAAAACCAAACCAAACCAATTATATCGGTTTGGATTGGTTCGGTTTTGTCGGGTTTGTCGGGTTTTCGGGTTTTTTTGTTACATGAATATTATTTCAATCTTACGTTATTAAAATTATAGATAAAGCTTTGATAAGTGAATATATGTTTAGTAAATATGGAAAAAATTGACAAACATATGATCTATTAAAATATTCTAATGGGAGAAATTTTATAGTAACACATGATAGTTATTTTCTTAGTCGTCTAACAATAATTTTTTGTTAATTTACGCTTTCAAGGTTAATACATGAGAGGATCCCAAATATTTCTACATTTTCTAAAGAAAAATCACTACAAAGTCTTAAAAATATAAATAAAATTTATATATTTATATGTCGGTTTGGTTCGGGTTTTTTTACTCAATACCAAACTAAGTCAAACCAAACCTAGTCCGATTTTTTAATCGGTTTGGTTTGGTTTTTCGGTTTGGTGCAGTTTTCCGGTTCGGTTTGAACACCCCTAGTATTCCGAATCGAAACCCAAAATGGGTCAAACTGACCAAATGAACAATCATATTTCGACCATGTAAATATAATCTTCTACAGTATAAACATACAACAACAACAACAACGACCCAGTATACTCCCACAAGTGGGATCTGGGGAGGGTAACATGTACGCAGACCTTACACCTACCCGAGGGATAGAGAGATTGTTTCCGGGATACAGTATAAACATACCCTCAACAAATAAAACAGAATCATGAAACTAGACTCACGCAGATTAAAGAGCACAACAAGTTCATTAAATTTTTTTAGCAAGTGACCAACATCCTAAGTTCTATTCTCCTGTTACATAACTGATATATTTGTGATAAAGTAATAAATTTCATTAAAAGAAGGGCCAAAAAAACAAAAAACAAAAAACAAAAAAAAAAAAGCAAGCCAGATTATACCAAAAAGTAGAAAACCCTTACAAAATGATATGGTTTTATATGAATTGATAAATATTAAAAGCAAAACAGCTCAAACGATACAAACAACATGGTTAGCATCCAAGCAAAATCATCACAGAAGCACAAAATGATCGCAAAAACAAAAGGGAAAACATATTTTAGCTGACAAAAATCCTTAATTTCATAAGCTGCAAACATAATCCCATAATTCAAATTCATTACATCTTGTCACAAACAAGACATTAGGAGAGTATAGGGCAAGAAATGTGGGGGAAAAACTAGTGCTAAAGTAATAAGCAAAGTAACACTCATCTAATCACCACCAGCCTTCTGGTAAACATAGGTAAGCCCACATTTACCACAATAGTGCCTGTCAAAGTGGTTAGCCATGAAAGTCCCGGCACCACACTCAGCATTGGGACACTCCTTGCGGAGCCTCTGAACCTTACCAGAATCATCAACCTTGTAAAACTGGAGGACAGCGAGCTTAACCTTCTTCTTCTTGTGCTTAATCTTCTTTGGCTTAGTGTAAGTCTTCTTCTTACGCTTCTTTGCACCACCACGGAGGCGAAGGACAAGGTGGAGGGTGGACTCCTTCTGGATGTTGTAGTCAGCTAGTGTTCGGCCATCCTCAAGCTGCTTTCCTGCGAAAATCAACCGCTGTTGGTCCGGTGGAATGCCTTCCTTATCCTGAATCTTAGCCTTAACATTGTCAATGGTGTCCGATGACTCTACCTCTAAGGTAATAGTCTTCCCCGTCAGGGTCTTCACGAATATCTGCATCTTTCCCAACTATGTGCACCAACTGAACAATTCAACAAACAGAACTGGAATCAACCATATAAATCAAGTGTACCCGTTACTTGATTATGCTCTATTAGGATCAAATACAACAACAACAACATACCTAGTATTTATCCCACACCGAATGAGAATAAAGGTAAGCAATGAAATATTAGGATCAAATAAAGAATAAACATTTCACCAATCAATGAATCAGGCCAAGTATTCCAATTCGGGACCGGATTAGACGAAGAACATATTTTAAGAATTATAAGAAACAATGATATGTGAAAATGGGGCCAGCTATATGAATTCTCTGTGACTATTCAGTTTCATTTGAGCCAAATCAATGGCTATATGTATCCATTACGCTCTATTATGGCCAAAATCAAACAAAGACCAAAAATTTAACCAACCAATGAACTATGCCTGTATTTCTATTCGGGCCAGATTAAACAAAGAACATATGTAACTTGTAAAAGTTACAAGAAACAATGACATGTGAAAATGGGGTCAGCTATATGAATTCTCTGACTATTCAGTTCAGTGGCGGACCCAAGTGGTGGCTAGCGGGTTCAACTGAAACCGCTTCACCAAAAAATAATACTGTGTATATGTATAAATTAGGATTAAAGCTGTGTAAATTTTGTATAAATATTTATTTGAACCCACTTGAGAACTATTAATTTACGACTAAAGTTATATACTTCTAAGATTGAACCCGCTTGCACAAAATACTGGGTCTGCCACTGATTCAGTTCCATTGAACCAAATCAATGAGTATGCTTAGATCACAAACAAACTGGAATCGTCTATTGGGCCAAATCAAGCAAATAACAAACATAACATCAATTACTGAGCTACGAATCTATGCCAATTATATAATTGGATTCCTCTGTAACCATTTGAGTCTATTACGGACCAGATTAAATGAAAAACATGTATAGCTTGAAAAAATCAGAGGAAACAACGACATGTGAAAATATATGAATTCTCTGTAACTATGCAATACATATTAACTTGTTAAAATCACAAGGAACAGTGATATGAGAAACAGAAAGCTACCACAACACTAATAAACACAGCACTAATAATCCAAGTAACTAAATTTTTTGTGTTTTACTAATTAAAATCATTGCAAAAAAGCAAAGGATAATAGGTTGGTTATTTAGAAATAGAAAAGGAAGCGAGAGAGGAATAGGAACTTACGATTATCAAGGTGAGGAGTGCCGCTGCACAAAGAGAAGATAGCGGCAGAATGAGGGTTTGGGAAGAATTTAAGGCAGAGAGTGTGGTTCGAATTTGGGCTTCATTTGTTATTCAGCCTGCAATCATTCATTTGGGCTTGGACCTAAAAGGGCTTTTTAACATATGTGGCCGCTCAGTCAAAAATAATTACAAGTGCTAACCAAATATACAAAAATATAAACCTATTATGCATAAAATATGTATATTATCATATATTAATATATAAAAAATTATATTTTCGATTATTATTTTGAAGGGCGGCTTTAGAGTGAAGATTTCTTGACCTGAAAAGCATATACCAATTTATTGAGATCTTAATTTAATTAATCATAATTGTGTTAATTGATGAACTAGAGGAGATTAGCATGTGTTCGTGAGACTAAGTGGGTAGGATCGAAGGCGAGGAATGTAGATGGGTTTAAACTGTGGTACTCTGGACGCTTGAAGGGTAAGAACGGAGTGGGTATTCTGGTGGATAGGGATCTTAGAGAGTCGATGGTTGAGGTTAGGCGGGTGAGTGATAGATTAATGTTTATTAAGTTAGTGGTTGGAGGGCTCACTCTAAATGTTATTAGCGCATACGCGCCCCAAGCGGGGTTTGGATGAAGAGGTTAAGAGGTGTTTTTGGGAGGGTTTGGATGAAGTTGTGCGTGTTATTCCGCCCACGGAGAAGTTATTTATAGGAGGCGATTTCAACGGGCATATCGGCGCGTCTGCCAGTAGTTATGTCGAGGTGCATGGAGGTTGTGGCTTTGGGGTTAGGAACGGAGGTGGAACTTCTCTATTGGATTTTGCTAAGGCTTTTAAGTTGGTGATTGCGAACTCTATGTTCCCGAAGAGAGAGGAGCATTTGGTTATTTTTCAGAGTACGGTGGCTAAGACTCAGATTGATTATCTGCTCCCAAGGAAGTTTGATAGAGGGTTGTGCAAGGATTGCAAGGTTATCCCGAGGGAGTCACTCACGACCTAACATTGGCTCTTGGTGGTAGATGTCAGCATCCCGATAAGGAGGAAGAAGAAGGTGGTTCGGGGTAGTCCGAGGATTAGGTGGGGTGCCTTGACGAAGGAGAAAGCTCACGAGCTGGGGAGGAGGCTATTGGCTATAGGGGTTTGGAGAAATAGTGGGGAAGCTAGTGGTATGTGGACGATGACGGCGAACAGTATTAGGAAGGCGGCACAAGAGGTACTGGGGGTCTCGAAGGGTTACTCGGGCGGGCACAAGGGGTGACTGGTGGTGGAACGCCGAGGTCTAAGGTAAGGTAGAGGAAAAGAAAGCGGCGTATCGACGGTTAGTGGAGAGTACGGACGAGGTGGAGAGGCAGAGGAACAGAGTAAGTTATAAGGAAGCTAAGAAGGTGGGGAAGTTAGCGGTCAAGGAAGCGAATAGTGCAGCATTTGGTCGCATATACGAAGAATTGGGGGAAAAGGCGGAGATAAGAAGTTGTTCCGGCTGGCAAGGCGAGGGAGAAAACGATTCGAGATCTAGACCAAGTAAGGTGCATCAAGGACGAGGAAGTCCAAGTGTTAATAGAGGACGAGCAAATTAAGCGGAGGCGGCAGACGTACTTCATAAGCTGCTAAATGATGAAGGGGAGAGAGACATTGTGCTAGGGGAATTGGAGCACTCCGCGTGTCACCGAGATTTTAGCTACTGTAGGTGCATTAGAGTCGAGGAGGTTGTTGGGGCTATGCGTAAGATGAGCAGGGGAAGAACGACAGGGCCAAATGAAATTCGAGTAGAATTTCGGAAGCATGTGGGTAGATCAGGATTGGAGTGGATAACTGGGCTGTTTAATATTATTTTCAAGACGAAAGAGATGCCAGAAGAATGGAGGCGGAGTACGATGATTCCGCTATACAAGAACAAAGGCGATATCCAGAACTGTAACAACTATAGGGGCATCAAGCTATTGAGTCGTACCATGAAAGTGTGGGAGAGGGTAGTCGAAGCGAGGGTGAGGAGGCTGGTGTCAATATCCGAGAATCAGTTTGGGTTCATGCCTGGTCGCTCCACTACGGAAGCGATCCATCTTATTCGGAGGTTGGTGAAACGGTACAAGGATGGATAGGATGAAGGATTTGCACATAGTGTTTATTGACCTAGAGAAAACTTATGATAAGGTACCTAGAGAAGTTCTTTGGAGATGTCTGGAGGTGAAAGGTGTTTCGATGGCTTATATTAGGGTGATTAAGGATATGTAGATTGAGCTAAGACTCGGGTTAGGACAGCGGGAGCGACTCAGAGCATTTTTCGGTTGTTATGGGGCTATACCAAGGATCTACGATCAGCCCGTTCTTATTTGCCCTAACGATGGACGCACTGACACACCATATCCAAGGGGAGGTGCCATGGTGTATGTTATTCGCTGATGATATAGTACCGATTGATGAGATGCTAGGCAGTGTTAACGAGAGGTTGGAGGTTTGGAGACGGACCCTTGAGTCTAAAGGTTTCAAGCTGAACAGGACTAAGACTGAATACATGGAGCTCAAGTTCAGCAGCGTGCCGGGTGAAGCGAACGTGGACGCGAGGCTTGACTCACAAGTCATCCCCAAGAAAGGGAGCTTCAAGTAACTAGGGTCGATTATACAGGGGGATGGGGATATTGACGAGGATGTCACACACCATGTAGGAATGGGGTGGATGAAATAGAGGCTAGCGTCTGGTGTTCTGCGTGACAGGAAGGTGCCTCCGGAACTTAAAGGAAAGTTCTATAGAACGGTGGTTAGGCCGGCCATGTTGTATGGTGCAGAGTGCTGGCCAGTGAAGAAATCTCATATCCAGAAGATGAAAGTTGTAGAGATGAGGATGCTGAGATGGATGTTCGTACACATTAAGCTAGATAAGATTAGGAATGACGATATTCGGGTGAAGGTGGGTGTGGCTCCCATGGAAGACAGGATGCGGGAAGCTAAGCTTAGATGGTTCGGGCACGTGAAGAGGAGAAGCCTTGATGCAACGCTAATGTGATAGTGCCTTGTTTTAGGCTGCTAGGGGCTCCACTTGTGTTCTTAATACTTATTTAGGGTCGAAAGTTAGGCTATAGTATGTTTAGCGGCCCCATGTGTACATATTATTCTCTTGCGTATGTAGTATTGTGCCTTTGTTGATGCTTAGTGTTAATACTTTACTCTATATTTTCTGGTTATTGCGTTGCTGGTGTTATCTGTTTGGATTCCTTTGCTACTACTGATACAATGTCTCTTTCCTTCTTGTACCGAGGGTCTACCGGAAACAGCCTCTCTACTCCTCTGGAGTAGGGGTAAGGTCTGCGTACACACTACCCTCCCCAGACCCCACATGTGAGATCTCAATAGGTTGTTGTTGTTGATGAACTAGAGGAGATGTCAATTAAAAGGTTGAACTATGAGAAATACTAGTAAGTCAGGGGTCGTTTGGTAGAGTGCATAAGAATAATGTTGAATATGGTGTATTAGTGCTGGTATTAGTTATGCTTGCATTAGTTATGCTGACATATTTCTTATCCATTGTTTGGTTTGATGTATTAAAGCATTGCACAATTTCCAAAAGAATTGCTTGTTTACAAAAATACCCTCAAAACCAGTCCATCACTCTAACTTTTTAAAAGAAATATATGTTGAGAAATATTTTTATATGAAAAAGTTTAAAAAAATTGTTTGATTTGTCTACCTATATTGTAATATACAACTAAATATTTATTTATAAAAAAAGAAATATGCTAAGTATTTATTTATTTACTAGAGATATAATTTTATTTTCACTATTTGAATTATTTTAAACTTGTATTAATATAATAACTAGCATATTTTAATCAAGAATAAATTTTGAAGGACAATTTTGTCTTTAACTAAGCTAATGCATGCATTAAAACCTATTGCATTGCTAATACCATGGTTTCCTATGCATTAGTTATGCATAGGATAATACCAAATAGGATGTATAACTAATGTCTGCATAACTAATGCATAGGTTCAAAATGTCTACCAAAAAAGGTATTATTAATACACAAAGCTAATACAAGCATTATTTTATCTAATACATCCTACCAAACGACCCCTAAGAGTTTTAGGATAAGTACAAGTAAAAATATAACATATGCAGTATGAACTTTACAGGATAAGTAGACTAAGATAGATGAGTATTTCGAAAGTAATTCCATGAAAAGATACCTACCTAAGTAAAAGAGAAGTCTCGCAAATCACACACACACACATATATATATATATATATATATATATATATATATATATATATTAAAAGTGAAAAACTCCTACTTCCAAAATTGGATTACCATTTTCCCCTTACATTAAATTAAAATCTAATTAAATCTAATTAATTAAATAGGACTACTAAGTCTAAAGTTAAATATGAAAATGCCCATCAAATTTACTAAAATTTGAATTTACATTTCAATATATAATAAATTGTATAGTACATATATTAAATGTACAATGTGAACAGATTGTTTTGATTTGAAAAATTGACAAATATATTTCTAAAGTTAATGTCATTTATTGTAATCTATTAAATTTAGAATAACTTTCATCTTCCACGATCAATATCAATCTTTAAAATGTGCATTGAAGACTTAACTCTTTCACCTTCTAACAGTAACTACAAATTTATGAATGTCAATTTTTTCACTCCTCCATTTACTTATTTATCAATTTTTCTGACATACCATCTACAATCTGGCTTGCGATAATGAATATAAATTTAAAATATTAATATTTTATTTTTTTTAATTACTCTCAAAAGGTTAACAATTTGGAAAGTTATAGAGCAGATTCTCATGCAGGCATAAATTTATTATTTCTAATTCAATGCATTTACATCCTTAGTTAATCTCATAAGATAGATAAGTAATTTGAAAAGTTATATTTAATCTATAATTATAGACCAGGTTCATATGCAAAAATAAAATATGTAGTATTTGAACAGTCATTCCTATGGCTATTTAGGACCTTACGCCGATAATGCAATGAAGTCATGGAGATTTGTTACGAGTTAGCTATCAAAAGTTGAGTTACCTTGACCCATCGATTTCACTTTATTATATGTTACTTTTCCTCTTTTTATTCTCATATTAATATCTTGAAAACGTTATTTTATGTGTTAGTATATATTTTGTGCTGAAGTGTTGTATAAACCGATGGCCTCATGGTATTTCTATGAACAAATACTTTGTTAGTCTGATTATTTACCTCGACAAAAGATCAAATGTTCGTTGAAAAAATAAGTTAAATTTTTTGTATATTTATTTTGTGGATAAAATCATCTTTGTAACAAGATCTAAGCTCTTTATAGCATGGAAAGTAAGATCATGATATTTAAAAAGTCACACTTATTGGCTACATGTTAACCCCTTCAGTTGTTGTTCAATTAACCGAACGATATGTATATACTAATATAAATATTGAGCAAGATCTAAATAGGCTAATGTTCTTAAATTGGTAATCCATTGCCTCACTCTTTACATAATACATGCACGTTTTAAAATAGTAGAACACGAAAATTCTTAAATACTTCAATGATTTATTAAGAATACAAATAGTTAATTTCTTGTTAGAATAAGAGTACCGTGGCTATTAGTGTTCTTGAATAGTAAGTTTTTAATATTCCCATGTCCCGAAGAAACACGAATAATTTGACTGAGTGTGCAGTTGAGGACTACATCATGTATATTAATTTTATTGAGATTTTGGTGCATACTTAACAAAGAATCTAATGATTTGATGAAGTGCATAAGCTTGTGTTTTCTATGTGTGATTATTTATTATCCTTTTGAATATTTTTTTCATTATATATTACAAATATACGAAGAGTATGTCGTTTATTTATTGACTTTCAAGGCAAGCAAGAAGCCAATGATCATATTATATGATTTTTATAATGTGTAGTTACATATTATTCTTTAGTTTTTACTTTATTGCTCAAAAACATGTTTTAATAATCTTACATGGTGTTTTTTGAAAAAAAAAAAAAGTACTAAATGATTCATGGTTGTCTTAAAATTTTGTACTAAATGACTCATGGGTTTTTAAATATTTTGTACTAAATAACTTGAGATCAAAGACTCCAAGATTTAAATTCTATAGGTTCAAGTTTTAAGATTTTAGCATTCAATTCATTCACTTGTGGGATTACACTAGATTGTTGTTGTTGTTTGTTTGTTTTATTGAACGCATTATGTTTTAAAAGTTATCGATTCATATTACTATGTAGTACAATTTTAGTGAATTTTCACGCATAAATTATGCTCAACGTCTTACGTGAGTCACACTGGATATGTTCCTTCGCGGGATACACGTGGCGAGAGAACTAACCAGGTTGTATTATCACTTTTAGCCCGTGCCAGAAACTATTTACATCTGGTAGCCGAAAAACTATATAAAATTTGTATATTTTTGTATATTAACATACAAAATGTATATATATACAAAAAAAATATAAAAATTTTGTACATGCTTTCGGCTATTATTTTTACAGCGGCTATACAATGTCATTTTTCATTGAAAACTGGCACAAAAGGGGATATTTTCAAGGTCAAAATTTTAGAAGACATTATCTAAAAATAATAAATTAAAGTGATAATTTGCATTATCCATTAAAAAAAGAGAAAATGTTTTGCTTCAAAGCAGAAGACTTGCTTCACGAATAAGAGTTGGGTAACACATTGCGTTAATGGGACTAAATGTGCTCCACTTTAGCATACTTAAGGGACTAAATATGCTTGGGATTATACTTGAGGGACCAAAATAGACCTACCCTTAGAGTTGGATAATTACACAGTTTGACATGTTTGCTTGACCAAGTAATTACTTGGTCAACATGAAATTGGGTGTAATTGGAGGAGTCTAATTACAGTCTCCAATTCTCAAGAGGGAGGTAAAAATTAGTGGTAATTACACTGTGTAATCACAAGGTTGCTTCTTAGTTTCTTTCCTTCTTGTTTTTATTTAATTTATTTTCTTTATAACTTTTTATTTCTATTTTTTAATTTTGTTTTTACTTTGTTTTTTGTTTTGAAATTTTAAAATATAATTTTCTTTGTACATTATTTATCTTTTATTCCTCTACCTTCACTCCTTGTGATTTCATGTAATTGCTTATATTTTATTTATTATTTATTTTAGTATTCTATTTTTTGAAACTATACCTCCTAATATTAGAAATAACGAGTGATGCAATTAAAGTAAAATTTCGTTGTTGAATGTGGTTATAAACTTATTATGTTCCATAATCTTAAGTTGTAGTGGAACTTATTATTATTATGTTGGAATTTGACACATGTTAAACTATTTTATTTTTTTAAATTTTAAAATTATGTTATATTCATGGTTCTAATTTACTTGTTTTAGTAGTAATGGCTCACATTACATGTTATTATTATTTTTTTGGTTAGAATTGATAGATTAGTTTTGTCAAACATTTGAATAATGTTATGACATTATATTTATAAATAGTAATTTATTTTATCAAACATGAATTCCATGATGTTCTTACAAAATGTATGTTTTTAGTTTTTGTAAGAATCTAAACTAAATATTAATAATTTGAAAAATATATATAAATTATTTTTACAATATTAGTTATAAATATATGATTACTAATTAATATATATTCATGGAAAAATATACATCTTAAATATCAAATATAATATTATTTATACAAAAATTTATTGGCATATTTTTTTTGGTAGCAATGTAAATATTACCATTAACAACAAACAAAACTAATACACTTATGGACCACCTAAAGTTTCATAGCCACCTTCGGGGGCGGAGCTACCCTTGTCCGAGGCCGACACCCCTTCGCCGGAAAATAACACTGCGTAAATAGGTATTTTTAAAAAAAAAATTGAATATATACAAGGGGTTGACAACCCTTGACACAAGACAAACTCTTAGTGCAATGGTCAAGGGGTGTCAATTTTTTTTTAATTTTGACACCCCTTTGTATAATTCCTGGCTCCGCCACTGGCCACCTTCTTCAGAGTGTGGTATGAAATATAGGCCTCTAACAGCGCTAATCTATACAAGTATTTTCCGAAATAGTCCATGACATCATCGTATTTTCTTTGGCATCCTAATAAGTTCTATTCTATCTATAAATTCTTTTTTTATCTATACTACTACCATGTTTATATTTACATTGATTCCCCTAAATAGTTTCTAATTTATAACTTTCCAAATGTGGTATATGCCTGCACACCAAATTGCTGTCGGAAACTCTTCTTTTGAGCTATTGTCAATGCCTATTCTTCATTCTACTAAGGGTGTGCTTCACATCATATTCCGGAATCTGAATTCCTACTCATTGTCGTATTTCTGCTATGAACTTTGGTATATATTTATTATATTAACTTTTAAATTTTGATAATTACTTCATTTAAAACTTAATCTATTTCTGTAATTACACTTGTAAAATCAAACAATAAACTTGTAATTATATTGTAATTACAATATGATAAACAAATAAGTCATCATAATTATATAATTATTAGATTATGTAATTATTATTTTAATAATTATAACATTCCAATTACCTGATAGCTTTCCAAATAAATTATTCAATGTTAAACGAAACAAGACATATCAACGCATGGATTGGTAAATACATAAACAGTAAGTAACTTACAATTTGTCCGGAAGTCGGAAGACTGGAAAGAAGCTGATGAACAAGATAACGACGTCGTATGATCATCAACATAGCTAGAGTCGAAAATTTGTTTGGAAAAAAAGAAAAGAAGAAGAAAGTCGGAATCTTGTTGTGTAGTAGTGATCCCGTCTTTGTTCCACCTTTCCTCTTCAGTAATTGCTGCCCAAAGCGCATTTTAAAGACAACAAGCTAAGTTTCTGATTTGATGAAAAATCATCAAAATCTGTAATTGAAACTTGAAAATGGAAAGGGAAATGTGTTTTGAGTGTCTTCAACGCAGAATTCAATCAGATTTCTCTGACCAAATCATCTTCTGTTATGGTCTTTCTGATTCTCCTCTTCCTTTTGGCTCTACTGCCGTTGTTCAGGTACACTTTATATTGTGTATTTGTATTTTGTGTAGCAAAAAGACTTATATGCTTGTAACTAAATCCTCTGAATTGTTGATTTTTGCAGCCATCAAGTTCAAATGGAGAAGGGTTGCCACAGTTTCAGTTGACTTATATGCCCCTTCATAAAGATAGTTGCTTGGCCACTTACATGTATGAATCTTGTGCTTTCTTTTTTGTATGATCTTTTGTGTGTGTGTGTGTATGTGTGCGTGTTTGCATTTCCCATCCCCCCACTTGGAAAAAGAAAGAAAAAAGGAAACTTTGTGTCTATGTGATAATAAAAAAAGAAACTTTGTTTCTATGTGAAAGCAAGCATAGCTAATTCCTAGTTTAGATATTAGAGGATTATATGGCCGACCGTAATTAGTTTGAGGCATTGTATCCCAACTCTTTCGCCTTTAAAGAAAGTCTTATTGTCTATGTGAAAGCTTAGCTTGTCTCAAGTAAGGATACAGGAGGAGGGTTGCGGTATGTCGATAGCTAGTGTAGAAATAATCGAATGAAGATGGATAGTGGATTTATACAGCTGATCCCAACTAGTTTTGGATTGATCGGTAGTTGATTAATACTGTCTACATTCTTTATGGACGGAAATGACAGTGATGGTTATTGATCATTTTGAAGAGGCCGATTAGATCCTTTCAGAGAATGTTTCTGGGAACGAGTCAGATTGATATCTCTGGCACATTGTTTTTGTCAGACTCATTGATTTGTGCAGAGGGGAGCGCGGTAGCATATTATATGAGAATATTAAACTTTCTTGTAACTATTGCTACCTTTCTATATGGTGGCACTCTTTTAGCACATCTTGAAAATTGCATTTTTTTTATTAATATAGCTTGACGTCAAACATTTTTGGACGTTCCAAAATAAAAAGAGTACCTTATAAATTGGAACAAAGGGAATGTGTTGTTTTTAGTTAAAGCTGTTGGCTTGTTTTGGTTGGTCTGCTTCATGCCAGTGTGGCCTTTTAAAAAGTTGGAATAGTATGTCACTCCACTTTCTCAGGTGGAAGCAAAGAAAAAACTAAAAGAAAACTTGTACACATTTGATGAGTAGTAGACTGATTCTTGTGGACGTAGTTGGTCCCAGTATGATCTTATACAACTTAACGCCCTTCTTTGCAGTGATCAGTATTATTTAGAGGATCTTGAAGCAAGAATGAATAGTGGCAGTGCGCAGGCAGTTCCGGTGGAGATTGATCAGGTTCAAGCTGAGGTCAGTGTTGGATTCTCCAGTGATAAAACTTCTTCGATGGAAACTAGATCAACTGAATGTGAAGATTTGCAGAATGGTGGCAGATATACATCCCTATATGGACTAGGTTGTCAAAATTTGACCTGTATTTTTTCTGGTAGGTTTTCTTGCTTTAGGACTCTGACTGCCCTGGTTCCAGTCGCTCGGATTGGGATTTCTTCATCTGCATTAGTTGAATGTATTATTTCAGAATTCTTGGCTGGATCTCTTGAAGATCATATTTTACATTCTTTAACTCTCATGATAGAAGGTAAAAGATCAGGACGAGAAAGTGTTAACTTTCTTAGTTTAGTGGGGATTCCTTCATTTGAGGAAGAACACTGCCCTGGCTGCATAAGGCATCCAAACATTTCTCCGACTTTAGGAATGCTAAAAAATTCCGGTCAACTAAATTTGTTGCTTCCAAAAATGCCACATACCTTGGAAAACATACTTCACTTCAGCCCTGGTGTCTTAAAGTCTGACTGGCATATGCGGTATTTAATCTTTCAGCTGTTATCAGGGTTGGCTTACATGCATGGTTTAGGTGTTTCCCATGGTAATGTCTGTCCATCCAGTATATCATTGGTTGATTCGCTATGGTGTTGGCTGCCCATCTGTAATAAGTTCCTCAAGAGTTCCGTTTCAATTTCCAAAATAGAGTGCAGTCCTGATTCAGGAGTTAGTTGCTGTTTTGACGGGTGCTCTTTACAAGGGCTTTATGCTGATCTAAAGCTCTCCCAATCTACAGATTGGTTTTCTAGCTTTAAATGTTGGTGGAAGGGTGAAATGAGTAACTTTGAGTATCTGTTAGTCTTAAACCGATTAGCAGGGAGAAGGTGGGGTGACAATACCTTTTATACTGTAATGCCATGGGTTATAGATTTTAGCGTGAAACCTGATGAGAACACTGATACGGGATGGAGAGATCTAACTAAGAGTAAATGGAGGCTGGCAAAAGGTGACGAGCAATTGGACTTCACGTATTCGACATCTGAAATTCCTCATCATGTATCAGATGAGTGCCTGTCTGAACTGGCCGTCTGCAGTTATAAGGCAAGGAGGTTGCCCTTGAGTGTTTTGCGTACGGCTGTTCGTTCAGTTTATGAACCAAATGAATATCCTTCCACCATGCAAAGACTATATCAATGGACACCAGATGAGTGTATTCCAGAATTTTATTGTGATCCGCATATATTTTATTCTATACATTCTGGGATGTCTCATTTGGCTGTGCCCTCATGGGCGGGCACCCCCAAGGAATTCATCAAGTTGCATAGAGACGCTCTAGAAAGCGATCGGGTTTCACGCCAACTACATAATTGGATTGACATCACCTTCGGCTACAAATTGTGTGGTGACGCTGCTGTTGCTGCCAAAAATGTTATGTTGCCCTCATCTGCTCCTTCAAAACCGAAATCAGTGGGACGTCGTCAACTTTTTACGAAACCACATCTTCCTCGGCGGCTTGCTACCGTGAGAATTTGTGACAGGTCCAATGAAGCAGAAATGGATCAACTCCCAACAAGTGATGTGACTGAGCAAGCTCTGGTTATTGGAACTTCACTCTTGCATGAATTGGAAGAAGCAGCTGCATTCTCTGAGCATGCGCCTCATTTGGCTCCTATTTACAATTTGCATCCAGATGATCATGAAGGGCTTGACTCCCCTGGGAAAGGGCTATTAACTAAGAAATTAAAGAATACTACATCCAGAAAAACTGGCTATAGCATCATTACAGTCAAGCCATCTGTTATTGATGTGAATTACCTTCTGAAGAATATTGAAGTGGTCGATGATGTATCTATCGGATATCAAGCACTATTGCTTTGGAAGCAAAAATGTTCCCATCCACACATTTTGTCTGAAGATGTTGCTAATGATATCTTTGCAGTTGGCTGCATCTTAGCAGAACTTCACTTGAGACGGCCACTTTTTGATCCAACCTCTTTAGCTGTGTACTTAGAGTGCGGTGTCTTACCTGCATTAGTACAAGAACTTCCCCCTGACACTCAAGTTGTTGTTGAATCCTGCATCCAAAAGGATTGGAGGAGGTATAGTTCTGTATTCACTTTCCATCTTTAAAATCTTGCATTGATATTACATCCTAACCACGTTATGTAGTGTCAATATCTGCAGAAGACAAGGGACCATCTCAAAACTAACTGTTCTCTTTTCCTTCAATAGGAGGCCTTCTGCCAAATGTCTTTTGGACTCTCCTTATTTTCTAGCAACAGTCAAGTCATCCTACTTGTTTCTTGCCCCCCTTCAGCTTATAGCAAAAGATGAATCACGACTTCGTTATGCTGCAGCTTTTGCCCGACAGGGAGCACTCAAAGCAATGGGAACATTTGCTGCCGAAATGTGTGCTCCTAACTGTTTGAAACTAGTCTTGAATCCTTTATCGGATTCTGAAGCTGAATGGGGTTGCACAATAATAACAGAACTTTTAAGGTGTCTGACTCCAGAAGCAGTAAAGAAACTGGTCATACCTGCTATCCAGAAGATTCTTCAGGTTAACTATGCTGTCTAAATGTTTGATCTGTCTATCTCCTTGGCTTTTGCTCCCAAAACCTACTGTGCGTTTCTTTTCTATCAGGGTACTGGTCCTACACATTTGAAGGTTTCTCTTCTCCAAGGTTCCTTTGTGCTGGATATATGGAACAAGATTGGTAAACAAGCGTATGTGGAGACAGTACATCCATTTGTTGTATCAAACTTACTTGGTACTCCTTGCAAGAGCTCTTCTGTTGCTGCTTCTGTCCTGTTGATTGGCTCTAGTGAGGAACTTGGCGTTCCTGTTACTGTTCATCAGGTTGTAGTCAACCAAAGTTCCCCTTCTCATCCCCTCTACCCTTTTGATAGGTGGAAGTATTTAGACTTTTTTCGAATTTGTTGAAAAGGTTATTCTCTTGTTGTATGACTAATTCTTTGTTTCTCACCAGACGATCTTACCTCTCCTTCACTGCTTTGGCAAGGGGCTCAGTGATGATGGAATTGATGTCTTAGTTAGAATTGGTATTTATAAATTATGAAGTATTGACCTATGTTCTGTTTTTACAAATATGCTTCTGATTTCGCAACCTGACTATGCTTCTTATATTTTAGGTGGTCTTTTTGGAGAGAATTTCATAGTCAGACAGATTCTACCATTACTAAGAATTGTCATTCTTTCGTGCATTGACAATTCATTTGCAAATAAGCATGAAGCTGCACAGAGTTGGAGTTCTTTGGTCCTAATGGACTGTCTAATGACTTTAGATGGTCTCACTGCTTCCTTGACAAGGGAGATGCTTGTTAAGGAGCTTGTTGAGGTATGGAATTCGATATCAAATAATTTTAATTTCATAATACATTTCAGCATATGTTCCAATTAGTAATGTATTGAAATGCTTTTGTAGGATGGTAGATTCTTATATCTTCAGGTTCTCATGCAGACCAACTTGGGAATTCAGGTGGTCGAGGTATTTCAACTTTTCTCTTTTGTCCCTGTTCTTAGATAAGGCTTGTTGCAAACCTGTACTTTCTTGAACTAGGGAGCCTCATTTTATGAAATAAATAGAGAGGATACTTTCCAGATTTTTATGCCCCAAAATTTTAAAACTCACTCCCTAACCTCTGCACAACAATTGTGCTTTTGCAAGCGTTACAAAATACTCATCTCCCTGGATCTTTGAAGACAGTGCATGTTGTGGTGACGCTAGTAGAAGATGTTGTATATAACTTCTATATTCTGCTTAGCTGCCATGATTTGGTATTGAACTTTCTTGTTAAAAGAAAATAGTAGTGTACACATATTTTTATTTTTGTGAGTGAAGTGACAATTTGACACTCTGTTGGGATAATAAGTGGAGCTTTCCTCAAGTTTCTAGAGTTACAGAAAACTCCCTTATTCATGATCTATATTCTTGCAGTTATAAAGATATATGGAGGTTTTTCTTCTATTCTTAGAAATCTCAGGAGGTTCAAGTGAAAATTCCAAATTCTCTTTCTTTATTTCTTTATGCTTGTTATCTGTGTAGATGATGGAATTCTTTTGCATGCAAGGGTGCTGCAAGAAATCTGCTAGCTCTTTGTCGGCAAATTGGATCAGATTTAACAGCATTACACGTCCTTCCGAAACTCAGGAAACTCTTTGATGAGCTTGCCTTCTCCCAGGAGAAAGCAGGTCATTCTAGCATCCAGGGAGGAATTCGAGGTCCCACCACTAAGGGGGAAGATGAGAACAAAATTACAAGCCGTTTGGACCTTGTGTGGGTTATTTTGATTTTTGGAATATGCTGTCCTCTTATCATTTCTCCTATCATGTAATAGACTTTAGTCTGTGCAGGATGCTTTTATATCCATCATTTGCATCTCTTCTTGGTATAGAGAAGCTTCGCCAGTGTTGTGCCACATGGTTGCTACTAGAGCAGTTTCTTCTGCGCCGTTATAACTGGAAGGTATGCTTCCTAATACTTCTGTTAATATGATCTTTAAGTTGTAGCGGAAATATTCTATATTCTCAAACATTAACATGTCAAGTTCGGTAGGAACTCCCTCAAATGGTTATCAAAATCAAGATGGAGTACTAAATGATAGGCTCTTTGCTGCTGATGCTGCTGTGAGGCAATCAATCTGACAAATATAAGATATGCAAAACTAACTTAAGCTCCTAGATAAATTAAGTATTGAAAAGGGATCTAATACTTCAAGCTAAAGCCGCATCAGAAGGGACTTGATTCCGAACAAGACTCAATAGCTTTTAACGATAGTAGTATAGAGCTATGTACTTGCCAGAATCACCTTAGTGCTGTTTTGGCATCAATAAAATATTGCTTATGAAAAGAAAGAACTACATTTTTTCCCTTGTATACCCTTTTCCTTTTGTGTTGATTTCTGAAATTTCATGATTCAGTGGGAATCCGCAGGGGAATCCTCTCGAAGTGGTCCAGGAACATATGCTAGAAAGCTGTCTCTTGGTGAGAGCTTAACTTCTGAATGTACTCCAGCTAAGAAGTTGCTGAATGGTTTAGGGTGGTCAACACCTCAATCACAAGGAAAAAGAGGCTCCAAAAGCCCTACATTAAACAGACATCTGTCTAGCCAACATCAGGATTCTGCAGATAGGAATGCAAGAGGCTCAGATTTTAGCAAGATGGAACCCTGGTATTGGTTCTCGAGTCCAGCCGCTAATTGGAGTGGCCCTGATTTTATTGGCCGTCCAGGTGGTTCAAAGGATGAACTTCCATGGAAAATCAAAGCATCTGTTCTGCACTCTGTTCGAGCACATCAAGGAGTGCTAAGATCTATAGCAGTCTGCCAAGATGAATGCTTTCTTTTCACTGCTGGAGTTGGTCCAGGATTCAAAGGGATTGTTCAAAAGTGGGAGTTGTCAAGAATTGATTCTATATCTGGTTATTACGGCCATGAGGAGGTGTGCCTAATCTATTTCTTTTGTTCGAATTGCATCACCTGTCTTATGATTACAAGCAAAAAGCTTTTCTTTTTTGATAAAAATTTCTTGTTATTTCCCCCCTGCTATAATAGGTTTATAACAAGTTAACATTATGGCACTAAATAGACAGCGGATTCTTTAGTTTCCTTTTTTATTTATGTGCGCTCCTTTCCCAATTACTGTGACGCACTTTCTGTGCTGGAATGTGATAAAGAGTTCGACAAACTTCTACAGTAAACATATCCAAAAGGATAGTAAAAGGTTTGAAAAATTAAAACTCTAATGATCATCTGATGTTTTCCCTATCATACCAACTTTCCAGTAAATGCTTTTGTTTTTTTGCTGCTACCACCAATTTCATATGCCAGTCATACTAGCCTTCTGATCTTTGTGCTCATTTTAACTTCACCAATAAAATGGGAAGAGAGAGTGTATTATTGTGCTTTATTTGGTATACAGATGAAACTTTCATACCACGTAAACCTTGGACCGGAGAATGATTGATTTCTCCTACTGTCCTATTCTGCTTCAGTGGTTTGCTTTATTTATTTAAGAGAATTAACTGTTTTAACGGGCAATATCTTTTCTTGGGCATAAGGTGTGCGCCATTTTCTGGTATAATAAAAAATTTATTGTTGAGGCAAAGCTGATATAGACACCGCAATGGAGTGTCTTATCAACTTACTTGGCAGTTTTCATGCATTTAAGCAAATTATAATCTGGTATAATGTTCCTGCTTGTCCGTTGGTTTCAATTGATTGATAGATTGTTGTTGATACTTAATAAGTTTTGCTAAGCTATGTCACACAATGGAAATTAGATTCCTCCCAACAAAAGGAATTTGTTACATGATTCTATTTTTCAGCTTCATTGTCCTTTTTTTCTATGAAACAGAAAGCATTCATCTGTATGTTGTGCCTAACGACTTGTTAACTTGTAGTTGTTCTTTGCAAGAGGAACTGAACATAATCCCTACCAAGCATGAGCTGGTTCCGTACCTTAAAAATGCCTTCTGTTAAATTTTTCACATATTTAGGTTGAGATATATAGGAAAAAAACCCGCACTGAAGTTCTATGCATTTATTTGTCTTCCCTTTACAGGTTGTGAATGACATTTGTCTTTTGGCATCCAGTGGAAGGGTAGCATCCTGTGATGGGACAGTGCATGTGTGGAATGGCCAAACAGGGAAGCTAATATCTGTGTTTGCAGAGTTTTCGACAAGCTCTGTGCAACATACTGGCCCTTTGGCCAAAGCTTCAAAGTTGAATGCAGAACAGGCTAATATGCTACATTTCAATTCATTGTCAGGTGGAATATTGAACACTTCATTTGATGGTAATTTGTACACTAGTATGCATTATTCAGAATATCTGGACAATCTTGTTGTGGGTACCGGAAATGGCTCTCTCAGGTCAGTGCCTTCTGGAGTTGTATTTAATTGACTCAGATACATTCTCTTACATGGTTTATCCAATCAATGTTATTTTGGCATCCAGATTCATTGATGTCAGACAAGGTCAAAAACTTCATTTATGGAGGAGTGAAGCTACGGAGTCCAATTTCCCTTCTCTGATTTCTTCCATATGCTCATGTGCTTCGACTAAACAACAATACGGAAATCCTCAATATCCATCTTGGGTTGCTGTTGGGCAAAGTTCTGGCTATTGCAGGTTATTTGATGTGAGGAGTGGAAAAATTATTTCCTCATGGCAAGCTCATGATGGTTTTGTCACAAAGGTAGAGTTGGCTATTGCTTCCACTAGCTTGAAATAAAGGGGTTCTGCTTATTCTGGTGTTTTTACTTGCTTCCTGCCTGCAGATAGCCGCGCCAGAAGAACATTTGCTGGTTTCGACCTCCCTCGACCGCACCTTAAGGATTTGGGATTTGAGAAGGTTACTTTAGTGTTTTACATAAGTCTCTAAGTTTTGCAATATGGACCTAAATTCCGTGAAAATGGGGCACAATAAGATTAGGCCCAGCACGGACTGACATAGATCTTAATCAATATTATCTGTGACTGAATTCTTGCATACAGTTAGTTTGTCAGTCAGTGTGAAACTGGCTGCATAGCTAAGAATCATTGAGCTGCATTTCATCTCCAGTAAACTGCATAGCTTAAAGCCAATGATAGCTTAACTCAAGTCATATAATAATATGCTCTGCTTTTGTTTCCAATATGTTTCTTTCTAATTTAGCAATTGCGAAAATTTCATGTTTGAGAAAGCCAAACATTTGTATTGTAACTCCCTTAAATCGTCGGTCACAAGGGAAGCCATGCATGATAATAAGATAATTGTCTTTTGAAGATTCAGTATACCAGTTCAGATCCTTGATAAATTTGTTAATGCTTTATCAAGTGATTTCGTTTAAGAGATAAAACTATAAAGGATTCTTTTGCTTCTGCCTGTTAGAGATGAAACCCAAGAGATGATAGAACAAATTTGATCCCGTGCACGACCTGGCATTTCTTGGCTTTGCATTCAGGAAAATGTCCCAGAAAGTTTTTTGATTTCTACTTATCTTTCCAAGGAACACATACACTTCGTTGATTAGATTCATGTCATGTTTACTCAATGCCATTACTTAGCTTTTTCTTGTTTGAGATTTCAAATTTTCGTCTTTTTCTATTTTACTTCATTTTTAATCACAGAAATTGGAATTCGCAACCGTTGGCTTCCAGAGGTCACAGTGATGGTGTTTCTGGTTTCTCAATTTGGGGACAAAATGTGATTTCGATATCCCGCACTAAAATTGGGATTTCTTCTTTGGCCAGCTCTTCTGATGAAGTATGTATCTAGCTGTATCTTTTCACTTTATAGACACTTCTTTTTCCTTCCACTGAATTTTGGATATTTTGCTTGGCTTGCACATACGATAGTATACAATTTGATAACTTGTTATGTCCTCCTCGCTGATCCATTTGCCATTCATCTGAAACCCAAAAGTCACATATGCCTTGGTAGATCTGTAGAAATTCACTAAAGAATCTTGTTTTGAAAGTCCTGTTAAGATAGATGTAGTATATGAAATGTAATTTGCAAAGGTTAATAATTAAGGGAAAAACTAAGACGGTGACATTCTTCTCTGAGTTTAACATCGTAGCTGCATTTACTATGTATAAAATGGTAAATACTCTAGCTGCTGCCCCCAGGGTTTAGTTCAAATGGCAAAGATTGAGGGACTTGTGACTTAGGTCACAGGTTCGAGCCCTGCGCCATGCAAAGTAAGTTTGGTATTTAGGTGGAGAATGGTAGAGAGGCGGACCCATTATCCCCGAGTTTCAAAGGTTGCGGTTGGTCCTAAGGTTTGGCTCCAGATTGATTTCTCGGTCATAAAAAAAGATAAATAGTCTACCGGCATATAAATCTCTAGAACTTAGATCATCTAGTTTGTTTCTTAGGCTTCTTTGTTTATGAGGAATGCATTTCTATCTAGTCTATCTAGCTGCATTTACGGGCATAATCTTGATACTTGAAATTATAGATGTATGTGATGTGAATGGACAACCGAGGTAGACATATACATATTCAAGGTACAAGTGTCAAGTAATTCAAAGACATTGCTAATTTAAAAAAGAAAGGAAAGTCTAATCAAATGGCCTTAAGAAAAATGAAAGATAACCAGTTCAAAGTATTAATAAGATTTTGTTTTCCAGTGAATACAAATTAATATGAAATGCATTTTATCATTAAGTAGCAAAGGATACCCTTCTATGATCACTATAATTTGTGCAAAGTACGGCTGTGATAATTGCTTATGAAGAGTATAGTAGACGCACGGCGGTTGGCACTTTACTTCCTTCTGATATAGATTGCTTTGTCGGCTGCCACTATTAATCTTAGTCGGTGTGTGGTGCAAAATAAATAGTTATGGTGCAGAAAAAATGAAATGTGTGGTGGCTTATTTTCTGTAATCTTCCTCTTTTGAAAAGGGAAGGCTAAGAATTTCTACTAGTTATACTTTAGCGCAGAACTGATCATACTTTAGCGCAGAACAAATAAAATATATGGGGGGCTCATTTTCTTATTTTGCTCCTTTACTCTGAAATCGAAGGGGAGCCTTGGGGTAACTAGTAAAGTTGCTGCCATGTAACCAGGAGGTTACAGGTTCGAGCAGTGGAAACAGCCTCTTGCAATGACGTAGGGTAAGGTTGCCTACAATAGACACTTGTTGTCCGGCCCTTTTCCGAACCCCCTATATAGCGGGAGCTTAGTGCACCGGGCTGCTCCTTTACTCTGAAAAACAATGCTTAAATCACTACTTGAGTTATTGCTCTAATTTGCTTCTTTTACCGGCTTTAATGGAATATGGCAGGACGCCCAGCAATTTGTTACGCCTCAGTATCTGTACATGGGTGATCGCGAATCAAAGAACGTGTCTGTTCTATCAAGTATAAGTATTCTACCTTTCTCGCGGCTCTTTGTGGTTGGAACAGAAGATGGTCATTTGAAGATCTGTTGCTAGGTTTTACCTGAAGTAAATTTATAGGATGATGCAGAATTTATGTTAATAGGCATCTCAAGTCTCTATCTAGAACTGTTCATTTAGCACTTTGCCTTCCAATTTTCTTAATTTTGTGTTAATTATTTCCATTAAGTTGGTTGTTATCTAGTGGAAATTCTTAATGCAATTTTTTTCTACTTTTTCTTTTCGCTCTTATGTTTTTTCTGCAGCAATTCTTTGGTTTCCCCTATATTTTTCGAGAATGAAACATGTATCATGTAAGCAGGGAAGGATTTAAGTTTTATATATATATATATATATATATATATATATATATATATTAAGCTTTACACTTTAAGTGTAGTTTATTTAATACTATAACAAGCTAGCTTCTATTTTATTAGGTTATTAATTTATTACTTAAAATAGAGTTATCTATGTTTACGTCAACTTCGATGCATCAATTACTTTAGAGTTTAAGTTATATACACAATCCATAAAATACTTTTTACACTATCAAGTCACTCAAAGAATATTCATAGGTACGCTTTCTTACGATAATGAGATTTGTAATCTTAAAAATAAAATAAATTACCTACTGTAATAAGTAAAGGTGACGTGACAGTCTTATACCAATGTTGTATATAACTTAAACTCATTATTTTATTTTTCTGGAGGATCAACCACAGAAGGGTAATCTCTTTGTTGGACCATTGTTGCGTGGAAGGTAATTGAAGGGAATAGGAGATCCTATGCCTCCAAACATGATGTGATTGTTCTTTCTGTATATATAGGGAAATTTATGTCACATTTAAGGTGAATCTTATTAAAGAGAAATTAAAATGAGGGACTCAGTGTTTATATGCACCAATCTAATACACGCAAAATATGTATTTGCATATAGGCTTCTTGACTTAATCATAGTAGTTAATAAATATTTTTACTTTATTAAATTACTTAACTATATATGATTTGATGTAAATATTGAGTCCGATCAAATTTTATCATTTTGCGAGTTGGTTAAAGAAATATGGCTTAGAGAATTTATGGTTGATCCCAAGTTCGAGCTCAAGAAAAGATTGGTTTACAGATATAGTAAAAAACATGATAATTCTTTCGAGTGAAACTGCTCTGAATAAATATTAATACAAAAGATTCATATAATTGACAGACTTAACTTAAAATTAAGACGTAGTTGATCAATTAATAGAAGCCGTAAAAGTACGTGGTATGTGAAGCTTGAGAAAGCATTAGATAAAAGTAAAAACATTATAGTATATATGAATCTTTTATAGAAAGTAAAAACATTAAACGAGCAAACATGTGATGTTTTTTATCTATTCAAGTTTTGATGGATAGCATTATCCAATATAAATAATAAATATTCAAATAAAATTAGTGGAGGTGTCACGAGCTGACTCGGACACAGCAATAATGCCCAAACACCACAATTATTAGTATCATTTATTGGTGCTTTTGGCAACCGAGTGTCTACTGTTTGAACATTGAAGGTCGAAAATGGATAAAGCAAGAAATCAGCAAAGAAAGACAGAATCAGAAATTAAAATTTATAAGTTCTGAACTTACAAATTTCATAGCTTATTTGAATTGTTGGATTCGTAATTAAATAATTACGACACAAATTTAATAGATATCCTACTGTAATTGTAGCCTGTAGGTATTTAGCATATTAACAATTCTATAGAACATGTTCATGTATGATTAACATTTACAGTCACACCTATCTATAACAACATCCCTATATAACAGTCATTTATTAAAAAAGTCAAGTTTTCCTGAGAACCGATTTTTTAAGTTATATTTTACCTCTCTATAACAGCTTTTTACCTATCACAACAACAACCATATCTATAGCAGAACACTTTTTATAAAATTACCCCTTTATAACAGCTATATAAAATTTTAAGGTTGGGGCAGCTCGATGCACTAACCTTACGATACATTTACAGGTTGGGGAAGGATCGGACTACTAGGGTCTATTGCACGCAGCCTTATCCTGCATTTCTGCAAGAGGTTGTTTTCACGGCTTGAACCCGACTTTCTGTTCACATGGCAGCAACTTTACCAGTTACGCCAAGGCTCATCTTCAAGGTTACTAATAATAATTATAAAAATATGCACACAATCTATTTCATTGAACAAAATTTCTATTTTGCATAAGAAATAAGATTTTAAGATTTGCTCATGATATCTTTTTCATTGGACATATGTCAAAAAATATTTAGATAGAAGATTTAGTTGTTAAGCTCTTATATTGTCTTCAAGCGAAAGCTATTGCCTTTTTGTTGAAAATTTGGACACGAATCTTCGTCAATTGAAGCGTTATACCGCTAGTAAAAGAATGAAACCTACAAAACAAGCTACAATTACAAAGTTCTTCCATAAATCTTGAAAGAATTTATTTTTCTAGATAGCTTTAAAACACGTGACGTAGAGTTTAAATCTTTATAAGTTTAATTACGAATTAATTTATTAATAATGTATTGCTTTTTCAATTTTTAACTTGTGAAATATGCATATCTTTTGAGATTTTAAATTTGAACAATTTTCTTATCTCTTATATGTAATATTAAAAAAGAAAAACTAATTAATTTTTGGACAAATTTTATTTATAACAGGCAAAAAATATTTAAACGTCAAATGTTATTTAGGTATATAACAATCATTCACTATAAATACCAAAAAATATCGGAACAAACGGGACTGTTATAGAGAGGGTTGACTGTAACTAAATATTACTATATTACGTGGCCTAAAATGATTGGCCCAAATTTAGGACCCGTTTGACCATAGATTTTGTTAAAATAAATTTGGGTTTTATTTGACAAACACATGTTTGGCCATAGATTTTGCCTACATTTTGGCAAAATTCCAAATCCCAAAACCAACTCAATACCTAGTTTTGGGCCAAAATATCACTATATAGCAATCATCTCCTAAACAAACCCAACCAATTGATTTAGATTTAGCTTAACAAATTGAATCAACTAGCGAGCTCGTTTTAAATGGTACTAGTACGAGAATGCAAGATGAACGAGATGAAGAGAAAATAGTTAGAGGAAGAAGCCAAGAAAAGTAGAGACTTATGGTTGATCTTGAATCTCACAAGGGACAAGGAAAAAAGAACAAAACTTTACCACCATCAACGATCGAAGCAAGTATTGTGTGTTAATCGAGAACACAAAAAACTAAGTTGTTATAAGCCTCAAAACTTGGAAAAACCTAGAGAATAGTAGGATCATTGCAAGCGGAAATGCAGAAATTGTAAACAAGTAACTGATTGGAATTATGAATCTAAGCGCAGAGTAATTTGCTAAACTCATTCTCATAATCAATCACACTAAGCTAATATTCATCTTCTTTTACGTTGATTTCTGCCAAACAGTCACAAGGATACCTGCAAATTGCAATCGCAAAATTCAAGTGTTTGCTTTACTGAGCTTTGCTTTCATTGTGTAACAGTCGCAGTATCAAATATAACAAAGACATCAAGATGGTTAAAGTAGCTCCACTAGGATACAAAAGCCAGTATTGTACTAAAGTGTGTTCACATTACAAATGTGCACATTCAGCAATGTGGTAGCTGACCCACAAGTATTGTTGACAATGAGATTTCATTAATAAGAAAACCAAAAATGAAAGAAAGGCGAGTGATTTTCAGAGTTTAATCACTTCTATGACCACAGATATGAAACAGAAGTCTAAACCACCAAACTAAGAGATAATGATAAAAGCTATGGTGTTTAACATCTGTACTCCAAATTAAGGAACGTGGGCTGGAGTGCAACCTCATGGGATGCCCTATGCCTGAAATTGGACCAGAAAGGACAAAATTAGAAATGTGAAACGAAAAGCCGACAAAATGGTGAAGGCAAGGGGTTCGACTGCCCAGGTGTAGGGTGACACAATCGTAACACATACCTTGTTTGAAATATTGTTCGAAAGCCAATCTAGTCCTTCGTACAACCCTTCTCCAGAAGTGGCACACGTACTTTGGATATACCTGAGAGAAAGAAGGAGAAAGCATTAGATGACAGTCCTACCTTATGCGCTCCTTGCTAGTTAGGACCAGACTGCACAAATGGTGGTATCAATGTATTTTACCAGTGTCGTTGTCGAAGAGAATGAAGGCCAAGCTTATCGGTGATTTCAGCTGCATTCATTGCATTTGGAAGATCTTGTTTGTTTGCAAAAACAAGCAGCACAGCCTCTCTCAATTCATCCTGCAGAGAAATGAAATGCAGATTCAGGACCCCGTGCCATATCCTAAGCTGATTAGTCATATTTCCAATTTAAGATCTACCCTAAAACGTTCCTCAAACTTCACTTCCTAAAGGTCAATAGTACCTCATTTAACATCCTATGAAGCTCATCCCTTGCCTCAACTACACGGTCTCGGTCATTGCTATCAACCACAAAGATGAGGCCTTGTGTGTTCTGGAAATAATGCCTCCATAGTGGTCGAATCTGCAAGCAGATCATAAAGAAGTAAACAAATCAGTATTACTTTTCAACTCTTTCAAGAATCAACTTGTTATATAAACATTAACTCTGTGTTTCTTGAACAGAAAGAATATGGAGAGTTACAAGGTTCGAGATGAAGTTATGGCTAAAAAGCTATCATGACGCTAGAATTTCCTGTACCTTGTCTTGACCTCCAACATCCCACACAGTAAAGCTGATGTTCTTGTATTCAACAGTCTCCACGTTGAAGCCTACCAATAGAAAAAGTAGATTGCTGAAAAGAACAATTGCATAGCAAAAACTGGAAAACTCAGCATGATCAAAGAATGATCTTCAACTATACACACATGACAAGCATTTGATGAATATACATAGTCAAAGCTGCAGCCATCAAAAGATATTTAATCCCACAGAGATACGATCCTGAATCTCAAAAGAATACATAATTTTGCCATGCTGATGCAGATGATCTTAAAGAATCACAAAAGATCCTGAAAAACACATGCTGATGCAAATGATCTCAAAGGATTTTGCAAGATTTCGAGGCATTTTCCCCTAGCAATCTTTTTGGCTATACAGATCAACATAATTTACTTTCAAGCAGTTTATCCCAGAATAAAGTCAAAAATTATGTTTCATTGTAAGGTGCAACTCATGAGATGAAAAGAAATCAGAATTCATAGAAAGCGTACCAATAGTAGGGATAGTGGTAACAATTTCCCCCAACTTGAGCTTGTAGAGAATTGTGGTTTTACCAGCAGCATCAAGACCAACCATAAGAATACGCATTTCTTTCTTAGCAAAGAGGCGACTGAAAAGTTTGCCGAAAGACAGCCCCATCTCTGTATCACTGAAGAATAAAAGAAATTCTTAAGAAATCAGAAGGATCAATCCAGAAAATCCACTAAGTCTGCTCATCATGAATATAGGAATGCAACTAATATCCAAAGAGAATAGATAGAGAAGGAAAATTCCTCAGTTGCATGTAACGTTTGAAGTAAGCCTCATTTTGTATTTTGTTGTACATTTATGCAGAAAACTGGTCTTTAATTAGGCTGTTTCATGTTTTCATACTGTAGTTGTGCCACTTCTCTATCGAGTCAAATACTGACGTATGAAGAGCTGCAATCTCAGAGTCATGTATAAGAAATCTCCAAGGTAGGACACATGAATAGTTCATTTTTTGTGGAAATCAACCACATTGCAACTCTTCATATAAAATTGGAAAACCTGCTCGTGTTCTTGTTATCCTTATCAATCCCCAAACAAGCTCATTAGAAGCACTATTTAGGGACTGATATTCCTAGAAACCAATATAAATGTCTTTTTTAGACAAAACTCTGCACGGTGTTGACAGTGTAAATATCATTTTACAGCTCTCTATTTCTAGAACTGTTCGAAATAGCATTTCCTTAATATGTGAAGACGTAGAGGCAGAACCAATCATGGGTGCAGAATGTCACGACACTCACTAATCCTATATGATGATGATTGAGACTAATTATAAAAATATATTTCAAAATATTCACACACATACACACAGATATGTGTGTGTGCATATTTTCTTTTGGGAACAAATGACTGCGCAGGAACCACATGCAAGGAAGAGAGTTCAATTGAATCTCGTCGGAAATTTATACTCGTAAATAGGGAAAAATCAATTTTCTATATACATATATGAAATATTGAATCTCCTTAACATAAGAGAAACACAAGTTCAAATCTTAGGTGTAGCGTTTATGATTTTTTCTGAATCCCCTTATCAAAATTTCTGGCTCTGGTTGCATCCATTCCCACTACCCCAAGATACTTCCGCAATTGGTGAAAAGTATATTGAATAATGATCATATCAGGATATAAATCAAACATAAGCGGAAAACATATTATGATCTTATTCCTTAGCAATTTCAACCAGCCTCCAACTAATATCATTATAGTTGCTGATTTGTTACTCATATTCTAGAAATAGCACCGACTAGCCACTTTTGGATCCTAAATTTGAGAAGTAGCCACTGTTTTGGAGTTTCGAATTATATATACAAGTGAAACTCAAAACTCCAGTACAATGGTTATTTGTCAATTGCAGGAGCTGAAAAGTTGCTATTTGTGAATTTTAACCATTTGTATTCGCTAATCAAATCCGAAACAAGCAAATCAATTGGCCTATTAACAAATTTTCTATAAGCAACGGAATAACATCTAGAAATCAGCAAATTAAGAACAAATAAAAGGTAGATCTACACGCGCATGTATGTAAAACGTCTACGATGAAGAGACGAAAATGGCTTACCGGAGATCGGCGATCGGAGAATTGAGTGCGTAGATCTAGAAATGGAGCTGTCGTTAGCCGCGTTTCCCTTTGCTGTGGCACGGAAAGAGAAATAAATAAAGCTGAGAGGGACTCCTTTTATACTAGTATATGTCTATTTCTATTTGTGGGAACTGAGAAATTAAAGAGACCTTATTTTGGCGTTTGCTTATTCACGTTATTATTAATTCCGTTAAAATTGTAGCGTTGTTGACAAGCACTTTGGGAAATGTAGAAGCTTGGGGATTGATGCTGATTGCTGGCTTGTCAGTGACCAATCACAAGATTCACAACTAACTACTCTTTTTAAAGTTTTTTTTGGAAGTTTTAAAAACTTATTTACTACCTTTATTTAGGTTCCTTATTAATTAGTACTTTATATACCTATATTTACTAATTTTATACAAAATCATAAAAAAGAAGAAATGCAACTTACCTTAAATATAGCATATCAGTTACACATAATACCCCTACATTTAAGATTCTCTTCCTTTTCTAAAGTATTAAAAAAACATCTTCTCTCTTTCTTTAACAATTACCCAAATTTGTACTTACCCACCGTAAGAATTCTCCCTTACCCACTGATGCCCAAAATCTTTCTAACCCCATAATTGCAGATTCTTTCTTCTTCCAAAGCTTTTGATATCCGATTTCTCTCTTTCAATTATCCAAAATCTCAAATACAGAAGAAATTCGAAATTTTTCTCTACAATCAAGTTGTGGGTAGGTTGTGGATGCAATACTAATACGAGTATAATACTATTATATTAAATTTTTAGTGTAGAGTCGTGATTGAAACTTCAGGAAAATGAAGATCATAATTGTATCACAATTTTTCAGAAATGTATCGCGATTGTATTATAATTGTATATGTATCATAATTGTATTACAAATGTATGAATTGTATATTGTTACGAGCAGTTGTGAATTCGTGACGAATTTCACAATTTGTATCACAAATATGATACTTGTATATTAATTTATTAGTATTGTATCAGGTATTATTTTGGGTATTAATGTACCAGAAACAAGTTAGATACCATTGTGATACAAGTATGATACATTTATGTTTTAGGCATTGATGTGTCTGATACAATTTTTGAATATTTTTTAATAATATAAAGTTGTAGGCAGTGGTGAAGAGAGAAGATGGAGATTTTGGACGTAGATTAAGAGATTTTGATTTTTTTTTTTTAAGGAAAGAGAAGAGGAGAAGGGAAAAAAAAAAGAAGGAAATGATGTAATTGAATCCTTAATTCAACGCACTAATAATGGGGTAAGAGCCTTTTAAGAAGCAATGTATACAAGTTGTAAGAAAAACCTAGAAACTACAAAACATAGAGAACATAGGTAAATAAATTTCTAATATAGTATAGCTAGGTACAAATTTTTTGAGCGCATCTTTAGCATACCGAGGACGCAATCCTTAATAGGAGAGTGTAGATACCGGAACTATTTCTTTTGCTTTTGTTATCTTATTTGATGTTGTTGTTGTTGTTACTGCTTTTTTTTTTCATAGCTTCTCCGCTATTACCTTCGGTCCACTTTAATTGATTTTTTGGTTGTTATTAAGAAATCCACCTTTTAGTATTAATTAACAATGAAATTGACCATATTAACCTTAATTTACTGTAACTATAACAAATAGTCCTAGGCTTTTTACTCCAAGGGCAACTTTGGAAATAAAAGTTAATTCCTTCTTGATATTTGAAAAAATTAAATATTATGGACCACAAAAAAATCAATTAAAGTGGATCAAAGGAATATTGTATTTCTTTTCCAAAACTGTTGCGATTATATTTTCTTTGAGCCGAGAGGCTATAAGAAACAACCTCTCTTTTTTCATAGGATAGGGGTAAGGTCTATGTACATACTATCCCGGATTCTGCTTGTGAGATTACACTGGGAATGTTGTTGTTGTGTTTTTGTAAAAAATTATTCAACGTGATCCTACGCGCTCCCTCATTTCCTAATATTATACGTGATTATAAGATTTTTGAAATTTATAACGCTAAATATATCATAACATATTGCGATTATAGAAGTGAGGTATACTTACATTGTCGATTAATAAAACAAATAAATAATTTTGGAATACTTGTGATATATGCTTACGCTATCCATCCATTAATGAAACGCGTGAATATGAATTACAATCCTTAGGAGTGTACTTGTTTTTGTCTTCACTTTTGTAGATTAAAAATATTTTTGAAAGAATAATTATTAAAAATAAAAAATATTACTGAAAGCAAAAGTATTCTAAATAAAAAAGGAAAAATTACGCAACACATCAATATATATATATATATATATATATATATATATTCAAGAAATTCACCATTTGTAGCTATATTTAATTTTTTTTAGCAAATTCATGAAATAGAAGATTAATTATTTTAAACTGAAACAAGAGGGGGGCAACAAGCTCTCTTGGCTCAGTTGGTTGGAGTGCATGTTTAATTAGCGGAGGTCTTGAATTCATCTCTCAACAAAAGATCATTTTATTTTTCTGTATTTTTGTATTTTTCCTTGGTTGTATTCATTGTGTGGATGAATACAGGCGATACAGGTTGTCCTTTGTATACCCCCTTGTATATAGTTGATACAGGTTATATCCTTTGTATATACCCTTGTATTTCGTCTTGGTTACAGTTTGTTACATGAACGAATACAATTGCTCGGACGAATACAATTGATACATGTTGTATTCGTTGCGCGAACGAATATAGTTGACAACATGCTATATTCGTTGCGTGCCTGAATACATGTGATACAAGCGGGTAACAATTAAGCAATAGCTACAAATGGTAATTAGGCAAACTATAGTTATTATACTCTAAACTATAGTGCTTGTAAAAATTCTTCAATAAAAAAAACATTAAAATAATGAAATGTGGGTTTTACCCATATAACTTATTAAATTAGAATCTGAATAAATATTTGTTGAAACATGTTCCCCATCTCGAGTATGTGCCATTAGCCCATTAGGTGATTCGTGATTCTCTTATTTATTTATTTATTCCTTTTTATTATTATTAAATTCATTAGGTACTAGATGGTTCTACAGATAGAAACGACAGCGTTTGCTTACATTTTCTTTTCCTCCGCAACTTATAAAAACTAAAATCGCTGTGTGGAAGGCCTCATCCAAACATTCGTGCACCTCTGCCTCTGCCTCTGCCTCTGCACCACCCACCCCTTCTGCACCACCTACCCCCTCTCCACCCACCCGCTCACCCTCCCACCCCTCTTTATCTCTCAAATTCGCGTATTCCAATTTTTCATTCTCCAAAAGTCCGCCAATAATTTTTTCAATCTAGGGTTAGGGTTTTTTTCTCCTAAACCATGTATTATTCGACAACTTTAGATTAGAGATTATATAATGGTAAAGGCATTCCCTTTTTTTCTCCAAAAGTTCCTCAATTTAATCCTGCTTCAGTTCTGCAAGTCAACCATGTGTTGAATCTGCTCTGCTATCGGTATTTTTTCTTCTCAATTCAGCAAATTTTTATTTAGCTTAGTATTTTCAGGACTTTATTGTGCTTTAGTATTTGGTGCTTATGCTGTTTTATATGAAGTTTAGATTTTTTTCGGTATTGTTTCTTTTTAATTAATCAAATTTCTATTAATTTTATGGTTTTAGGACTCTATTGTGCTTCCCTATTTGGTTCCTATGCTGTTTTTTTTATATAAAATTTATATTCTTTTAATAGACGGAATGTAGTATTAATAGACGGAATGTAGTATCAGTATTGTTTCTTTTCACTTAAGCAAATTTCTATTAATTTAGTATCTGTAGGACTTTATTGTGATTCAGTATTTAGTGCCTATACTGTGGAGTATATAAAGTTTGGTTTTTAATAGACTGAATGTAGTATCAGTGTTGTTTCTTTTCAATTAAGCAAATCTCCATTAATTTAGTGTTTTTAGGATTTTGTTGTGCTTCAGTATTTAGTGCCTATACTGTGGAGTATATAGAGTACAACAACAACAACCACCCAGTAGAATCCCACTAGTGGGGTCTGGGGAGGGTAGAATGTACGCACACCTTACCCCTACCCCGAAGGAATAGAGAGGCTGTTTCCGGGAGACCCTCGGCTCAGAGACCGTGGAGTATATAGAGTCTAATTTTTTAATAGGCGGAATGTAGTATCGGTGTTTTTTTTTTTCAATTAAACAAATTTCTATTAATTTAGTGTTTTTAGGACTTTGTTGTGCTTCAGTATTTGGTGCATATGCTATTTTTTTAATTTCATATATATATATATGGCTTAGATTATTTTTTAATAGATGGAATGTAATATTGGTATTGTTTCATTTCAAGTAAGCAAATTTCTATTAATTTAATATTTTTAGGACTTCGTTGTGCTTCAGTATTTGGTGCCTACACTGTGGAGTATATAACGTTTAGGCTTACTTAATAGACACAATGTAACGGACCCCAACTAGTTTGGGACAGGGGCATAGTAGTTGTATTTTAGACAGAATACGTTCTTTGTTTTTTGTTGTGTTTAATAGGTGGAATATACTTGACTTCGACTAGTTTTGGGGTTGAGGCGTGGTAGTAATATTTCAGATGGGATATGTTTTTTTCCAGTCTTATATTCTTTTTGTTTTATTGGGTTAAACATATTTTATGTGCTAAGGTTTGAGTGTGTTGCTTTATGGGATTCCTAATTTGCTGCTCGATCATGCCATTTCAGCTCTGATTTCGAACTTGCTAATTTTACTTCTAGTGCTTAAGTGAAAATTCAGTGTGGTTAGATGAGCTTCGCAAATATAGTTGGTCCGGTCCCAAGCTCAAAAATAGGAGTAAGGTTGCGGTAGGTTAGCCAGCCTGATTAAAAATAGTCTAACTAGGACAAGAATTTGTGTCGCTGACGTTAGGTAGTTTGGGATTGGGATGTAGTTGGTTGATTGGTTGTACATGGCATACGAGGATGTTTCTGATTTATAGCTTTGAGCATAATTGTGGTTTGTTTTGTTTGTTTTTCATGTGTGTTGTTTTCATTACATGAATTGAGTTGTGGCCAATCTGGAGATTGATGTGGCGAATTATGAGCACATATGGGTGTTGGGCTTACTGAGTTGGATGCACTAGAGTGTTGGGGTAAGAGTTTGGTCAAACTTGTAGAATGACATTTTGCTGATGAAGTTGATGGATGGTAGTGCCTTTTAGGTTTCCTTCACTGTTGCCTCTGTGGGTTGTTCACTAGGTTTTTGTTTGTCTTCTAGTACTTCTGAGGAATTGCTGCATTTTCTTTTTCATTTGAAATAATTTCAATATTTGCTGCCGTCTTTTCTGTTTCTACTCAATTTCTACAGTTTTAATGGCAGAGACTATCTTTTTCTAATCTGCTGCCTTTTTGGGTCAAATTACCTGCTAGAGTGACACGCACTTATTACATTTTTTGGTTTACTTCCTTTCCATGAAGGGTGTCAGTCCTGATATGGAAATATATACTTTTCCTCAGCAAGGACATGCGGATGCTTATATGGTAAGTAGTAACGATTATTGACGATTTTAATACAATTTTTTCCATCACAAACAAAAATGTCCAGTGACTTCCAGCATCACATTCTATGGGATTTTAATACATTATTTTCCATCACAAAAAAAAATGTCCAGTGATATTCAGCATCACTTTATTTTAGAATGTGATGGTTCAAATAATAAAGGTATTTTTTTCTGTGTTCAGATTCAGGGTACTGAGGCAAACCTGCAGATCACCAGTCCGCTCCTTCAAAACTTTGAAGCTATGTATAATGAAGGAGCCCCTGAATTTGTTGTTGATCAGGGATTATATTATCCATCTGCCACTAGTTATGGTTATCTCTGTACAGGTATGATACTGAAAATCAACTTGAGATGACAATGACATTTGGATCAACTTATATTAATGTTTTATTTGGTCAGGATTAGAATCTTCCGGTGATTGGGATGGCCACCAAAGATTTTTTGGTCTGGATGGTCAAGATATTCAGTATATGGTTAGTTCATCCTTGGACCTAGTTTACCAAAGTACATCAAGAATTAGCTCATTTTATTGCAGTGTAGTGTCTGTGTTGAATATATTTTGTAACTCGTCTTTGTTCGTTTTGTTTCAGGATGCTCAAACTGAAAGTTTCCCCTATGTATATTATACACCTAACTATGGATGTGCACAGTCTCCATATAACCCATACAACCCTTACATTCCTGGTGCTGTTGTAGGAGTTGATGCTCCATGTGCAGGGCCACAACATTACTACACAATCCCCTCTTATGAAAACCCTGGTTTTCCTGTGGTGGTTCCATCTACATCTGGTGTTATTGCAAATGCTGCAGAGCCTATGATGGATAGTGTTATATCTACTGCTAACAGAGCTGATGGTCTTCGTCTTAAACGTAATTTATCTCCAACATCTCCAATCTTTACCCCAATTCCATTAGGGCCAGCTTCAGGTCATAAAAATGCATCAAACAGGGGGTCTGAAAGTGCAAAGCTTAATGCTGGATCTAGTAAACAGCCTGCGTCGTATGGTTTTTCCAGTCCATCCTCTCAAGTACACCCGGTAAGGAACTTTCTCTGAGTTTGTAAGGTGTCCAATAGGGTTGGACTGCTTTTATGTGGGTTAATTTGTTATTTTTTTCTTCTAATTTCTAGGGTGCACTTCTGTTTATTGTAGGGTAAGGAACTTTCTCTGAGTTTGTAAGGTGTCCAATAGGGTTGGACTGCTTTTATGTGGGTTAATTTGTTATTTTTTTCTTCTAATTTCTAGGGTGCACTTCTGTTTATTGTAGATAGTCTGGCATTTACCTTTTCTTTCTCCTCTTCATGGGATTATGGCTCATGCATCACTTTCTGAGTTTTTATGTGAAACCTTTGATAGGGTAAAGTTGCTCAAGCTATGGGAAGCATTATCCATGGGAAGGCTTCGTCAAATCATGGCCAACTGAGAGCTCCTGTTCCCTCTGAAAATGACTTGTCTAATATCAGATCATGTGCTCATGAGCGAGCTAATACAGATAAAGCCAGGCCTAACTTTCTAAATGGAATAGTCCCAAATGGTGGGAAAGTTAGTCCTGATACATTGACCGAACAGAATCGAGGACCTAGAAATGAAAAAACGAAAAAGCGATTGGTTGTGAAGGCCTACACTACAAGAGCAGGAAATGTTGATGCGCAGGGGAATATTGTTATTCATGCTGATGAGTATAATAGAGGTGATTTTCCGATGGATTTTGCGAACGCGAAGTTTTTTGTCATAAAATCGTATAGCGAGGATGATGTGCACAAGAGTATAAAGTACAATGTTTGGTCATCCACCCCTAATGGTAACAAAAAGCTGTTTGGTGCTTATGAAGACGCTCAGAGAATTGCTGCTGGAGATCCAAGAGGCTGCCCAATATTCCTATTTTTCTCGGTTAGTTGATTTCTACCACTAAGTCTAATCAGCAGTTAAGCACCAATTGTTATAGCCAAATACTTTATCTCCTCTGGTAATTGTCTGCTTGATGCATGAATGTCTTCATTGTTCACATAAGCTCAACTAATTTAGTATTGTTTTTGAATCTTGAACATGAAGGTTAATGCAAGTGGCCAGTTTTGTGGTGTTGCTGAAATGACTGGTCCTGTAGACTTCTATAAGGACATGGATTTCTGGCAGCAAGATAAGTGGAGTGGTAGCTTCCCTGTCAAGTGGCACTTTATAAAGGATGTCCCAAACCCTAACTTTAGGCATATTATATTAGAGAACAATGAGAACAAGCCAGTAACTAACAGCAGAGACACACAAGAGGTTTGTTGTTTAATTCTGGATGCTGCAACATATATTTTGTTTGTTACTCATTTATCCATCAGTGTGTCAGGCTGAAATAATTTTTTTTCCGAGCTGGTTAACTATATGAACGTGTATTGGCAATGCCATAGAACCTGCTACTAAATGAACTTGATTCTTGTCTCTCTTTTCTATTTCTGTAATTTTAGTGTCAATGATTTTTTCCTTCCCTTCTTGCTCTCCTTTTTTCCGTTTTTTTTTCCTGTAAGGTCTCTCTTTTATTCTGTTCTATCTTCTCTTTTTTGAGCCAATAGAGGTGACACGCAGTAATTGATCTCAACTATCACCGTCTCTGAGTAACTTTTGCAATTTAGTTTTATGTTATATGCAGACAAGTGTTGACAAATCTTTATTTCTTTATCTTCTTGTCTGTCAATGCTGTGAACTTTTCTTGGCTTTCCAGTACTTATTTTATCCCTGTTTCCTTCGCCTTCAATTGCATTCTTTATGCTGTGTATGATAATATATTTTTCTTGTTTCTTTTGTTGCCCAGCAGTTTTTATAACCCCCACTTTTTGCCTTCTTCCTTATATTCTCTTGACAAAAATTGAACAACACAACAATCTTCTCGTCCTCTTCCATCCTCTCTATTTTTTTTGCGTCTTCCTCTTTAGACAACAGCATCATGTGTATACAGATTTGAAGGGATCGAAAAAGCATAGTTATTTGAGAATTTGATAAGGTGGTTTCGTAAACCATGCATGATAATCATCATTGTACCTTTTTGTTTATTTAAAACTCAAAATTAGTCTCATTTGTTGAAGAAATCTGTCTTTATCTTAGCAACTGAAAGGGAATGTCCACAAGCCTCCGTAACTCTTGCTATATCACTGTAAATGTTAAAGCTGTAACAGTGTCAATGGAAGTTTCACAAAAGCCATGTCAGAAGAAACTGCATATATATTACTTACCCTTAAATTTTATGGATCATGATAGTGGTTTGATAGACTGTCTAACCGGCATGAAATACTTGTACTGCTCTTCTTTGCTCTGTGTTTTCTGTCTCTGGGTTGCCGGGTTTCTCCAGAAGGCAGATAATGATACTGCACTCATTGATATCAGAACATACTGGAGATTCTTTTCTATCTACTTGTTTTCTCTTGGCCAATGAAATCGAGAATTTTCAATCTTTAGTATCTGATAGTATATGATGTTTAGATCTGGCATGGGGCCATTGTCTCACATTTCTTTTTACTGAGATTGGCTTCTACGTTTTAGAAAATCCTGTTTTTGTGTGAATATGATACGATGCAGCAAAAGAAATTGAAAAAATCTGACATCCTTTGTCAATGTGCAGATACGCTACAAGAAAGGCATTGAGATGTTGAAAGTATTCAAGGATTATGCGTCAAGGACATCATTACTAGATGACTTCATGTATTACGAAAATAGGCAGAAACTCTTGCAAGAAGAGAAAGCCAAGCTGCTAATCAGGAGCTATGAAAGTCCATTTCTTGTGCCTGTATTAGATCCTCCTCGCAAGCTAAATTCCGTTTTTTGCTTACCTTCCGATGAAGGTGAGAAGATTTCAAAGCTTAGTGAACACCAAGTGACTGTTCCTGCAGTGCTGGATTCCACAAATGCTAAAGCCAACAAAGATAATGCAAGTGATGGTGACAAAATGACTGTTCCTGCAGTGCTAGATTCCGCAAATGCTAAAGCCAACAAAGAGAATCCAAGTGACGGTGACAAACTGGAGGCTGAAGGTGGTCCACACATTGAGAGTGCCCTGAAGATTGGTTCACTAACTATCAACCCTAAAAAATCGAAATCCCAGCCCCTGGATGTACATAGTACTGGTAACACAATGGCAAGCACCCAGTCAGTTGATGTTGTCACTGTCGGATCTATGCCTGTTAAAGTTAATGGACATGCCGAGTCTTCTGGTTTCCTAACGATTGGAACAATTCCGCTTGATCCTAGAGCTTTCCAGCGCGAAGAGGCCAGTAGTTCCGGAAAAGATGTTCCTAAGTGAGAGTGCATTACCCCAGTAAGCACTTGGTTCCCTGCAGTATAGTATTTTACTTGGTCCTACAAAAGTTGATGCGCAAAATGAGTTTCCTTGTGAATGTTTTATTTTTTCGTGGAGAACGAGGTTGAGATACCAATTTTTAGGTTGTTTTGGGATTGGGGTGGTGTTGGCTGGGCATGGTATTGCTTCAAATACAGTCTAAGTTTCTTCCTTTTGGCTTCTGTTTTCCAACGAATTTGATGTTTCCATAGTATGCCTCCAGCATTAAGAGGAAAAGAAAAGCAAAATGCTTACTTTGGTATTCTTTAGTCGTTGTATGTTAACTCAGAAAACAAATTTAATTTTTTTAGTCGTTGTATGTTAACTCAGAAAACAAATTTAATTTTTCTTCTTTAATATTGTTATTTATTGTTAATGCTAATCATTTTATTGTTATTTCTAATTAATTTTGGCCTTTTCTGAAAAATCCGAGGCACTTTCAAACACAAGACAAGACAAGTTGTGGGGGAAACTGCTATAATTCAATTTGTTACAATTTTTTAAATCTTTCTCTGCTCTTCTTCGTTATAGCCTTATAGGTAACGACGACGACGATGATCCAGTAAAATTCCAACTAAATTTCACTAGTTGGGTCTATAGAGGGTAGTGTTTACACATATCTTACTCCTATTTCGAGGAGTAGAGGGGCTGTTTTCGAAAGATTCTCGGCTTAAGAAGACAAAAAGAGATAATATTAGTACCAACAACAGATATCAAAAGAAAAAATAACAACATCATGAAAATCAAGCCTTATAGTCGAATATAAGCAAGCCAAACAGGGTATTTTCAATGTTTTGTTTATATTAGACTAAAAAGCTTTTTGTACCTCTATGCGGTTTGATTTTAAAGAAAATTAATGAGTCGATTTGGAAAAAATAAATAAATTGTGCAATACTACGTGTCACATACTTTTATACCTTAATCAAACATTTGAGAAACGACCTAGAAAATCTTTTAACATGGAAAGTATTTTTCACTTGAAGCATTTTTACGAAGAGGGTTTTTCAAGTAAGATCTTTTCATGAAAAAGATATCCCTCCATACTTAAATATTCCTCTATTGACTCTGGCTATTTGGTTGGTAAGGTAAGGAGAGTACAAATGTACAATCTTCATATAAAAATCAGCACAAGTAATAATATGTAGTTGTTGTTTTGATTTTCATCGCAAGTATCACTCATAAAGTTATGGAGGAAATATATAGTAATATTTTACACGCAAAAAAATGTGAAATAAGAATATAAATAGTGATTATTTCCACATAAATTGACACATGAAAATGATAATCCAACTTTTATAATGGTAAACAATAATCTATTTTGTTAAAGAAGTAAACGTATATTAGAATTGTAAAATATGGCCCACGTGAGTATTTTGGTTTAATAAAATATATTTTGTTAAATTAATATTTGGATAAAATTAGGGAAAGTTAATTATGGTTATAACTCCCCACTAACCCACTTTGATGGAAAGTGAAAATTAATCGATGTTCCCTCTCTCCGCCTATTAAAGTAAGAATAGCGTAACTCCATCATATTCTATTCTGAAACGAACACAGAAAAGGTAAAGAGAGAGAAGTACTGATTTTCTCAAGAATAGCAACTCTGAAGAAGACTTCCGCTCAATATTATCAAGAAAACACATCATGGATTCAAGTAAATTTTCTTAATTGAAGTTATTGTATATGTATTTTATGTGAAAATCATATAGTTCCACTGTTCTGAATAATTGATAGGATTTTATATAGATTGTTTATGAATCACAATCTAGAATTGTGAAAATCCTTACATGTGGTATCATGAGCACGGTTGAGGAATTGATGATTTTTCATTAAGATTAAAGATTTCTTCTTTTCTAGTGAACCCTAATTTATAAACTAATAGTTGCTGTGACTTCTAATGGATTCGGGATCATCTCTGTAAGTTGTAAATTCAAGTACGTGAATTTGGTTATATCCAGTTAAAAGTTTGATGAAACAAGAATAGTGTCATAATTGATTAATAGTAACACCTCAAGACTACTAATGAATAGAGGCATAAATAATATCTTAGATCCCGTTCGATTTTAGCACTATCTCTTTGTGGAGAAAGTTTGTATTTGATATTGAGGCAGACAAACAGTATATATGTGTGCGACCATTGAAATTATGAAACTATTGAAAATAAATATTTCAGTTATAGTAATTTTACAACAATAATGCCTCCTACAACGTTGTTAGGCAGAGACCTGGTAAAGTATTACTCTCGTTGGATTTATAGTTCTTTGCTGTAATATTATTTTTACTTTGAATTGGTACAGCAGAATAACTCTTGTTTCTGGCCGATTTTGTTAGATAATGAATTTCCGAAGTAACTTTAGAAAAATTATTATTTTCACAATATTTGAAATTATATAAGTATGATTCGTTAATCACCAAAGTGGTCGAATCCTTGTGAATACTTAATTCCAAATAACGATTGAATCTATATTCAATTACCCACAAATTGTGATGCTTATCAACGACATTATAAAATATTGGGTAAACTGAGTTCTCGATTATAAGACACTTATAGATCGTCCAAAGGTTGATCGTTTGTTCTTATAATTATTAAACATTAAGTCGATAATATAAATGTATCGTTAGTTTTATTTATTTACCTAAAGATAGTAAATACTACTAACTTGTACATTAAAATTACCGAATTATGTAAAATTTATTTTAAGCATCATAATTTTAAAGTTGTATTTTGTGTTTCGCCCAAAGGTGGACATCAATATATATTTTAGAGTAAAACATAAACCATTGTGAATTTAATAACATATTTAATTTTTAACTCAAAGCATTAATGAATGGGCATATTTTATTTGCAGCACTTGCTCTTCATTCGCACTCTGCTTCTGTTACGCCCTTTAATGGACTCAACATCTCAGATTGGTGCGAACAGATCAAATTCCATCTTGGAGTTTTAGATCTTGATGTTGCACTTTATACTAAGAGGCCAACAACTATTACTGAAACTAGTAATACTGAAGAAAGGTCCTATTTTAAGCACTGGGACAAGTCTAACAGATTAAACCTAGTGTTTATACGAATGAATATTGCGGGCAACATTAAGACTACTCTTCCCAAAACTGAAAGCGCGAAAGAACTTCTGAAACTTGTGGAAGAATGCTCCCAAACTGCTGATAAGTCTCTTGCTGGGACACTAATGGGTACTTTAACCACCATGAGATTCGATGGTTCGCGTACCATGCATGAGCATGTCATTGAAATGACAAATATAGCAGCAAGACTTAAGACTTTGGGAATGGAAGTGGATGAGAATTTCCTTGTTCAATTCATTATTAACTCATTACCATCTGAGTATGGCCCTTTCCAAATGAACTATAACACCATGAAAGACAAATAAAACGTGCATGAACTGCACGGAATGCTGGTTCAAGAGGAAACAAGGCTGAAGAATCAATGAACCCACTCCATTAACCTCGTAGGCCATCAAGGAGCTAGAAAGAAATGAAAGAAACATGGAAAAGTTAAACAGAGGCAACATAGTGTTAACGAGTCCTCATCTCAAGTACGTAAGAAGGAACACAAGAATGATAAGTGTCGTTTTTGTGGAAAACTTGGACACTTTCAAAAAGATTGCCTGAAACATAAGGCATGGTTCGAGAAGAAAGGTAAGCCTTGTGCTTTTACGCGTCTCGAATCAAATTTAACTGAAGTTCCTTATAATACTTGGTGGATTGACTCTGGCTCTACTGTTCATGTTTCTCATACGATGCAGGAATTCCTTGCAACCCGGACCATAAATCGGAATGAAAAATTTGTGTATATGGGGAATAGAGTGAAGGCTCCAGTTGAAGCTGTCAGGACTTATCGTTTAATCCTAGATACTGGGCGTCACTTAGACTTATTTGAAACTTTTTATGTACCTTCTCTTTCAAGAAATTTAATTTCCTTGTCTAAGTTGGATAAAGCTGGATATTTTTTAAATTTGGCAATGGATATTTCAGTTTGTTTAAGCATAATCATCTTATTGGTTCTGGTATTATTTGTGATAATCTATACAATTTGAACCTTGATAATTTGTTTGCCAAAACCCTCCTAACTCTGCATCATAAGGTTGGAACCAAACGTAGTTTGGTGAATAAACATTCAGCTTACTTGTGGCATAAACGTTTAGGTCACATATCCAAAGAAAGACTGAAAAGGCTAGTTATGAATGATATCCTTTCACATTTGGATTTTACGGACCTTAATATTTGTGTGGATTGTATTAAAGGAAAACAAACAAAACACACAAAGAAAGGAGCCACAAGAAGCGCTCAGCTTCTTGAAATTATACACACCGATATATATGGTCCTTTTGATGTCACTTCTTTCAGTAAGGAAATATATTTTATCACCTTTATTGATGACTTTTCACGTTATGGATATGTCTATTTGTTGCATGAAAAATCTCAAGCAGTGAATGCCTTAGAGGTATTTATTAATGAGGTTGAAAGAAAACTAGACAGAAAGGTGAAAATAATCAGGTCAGACAGAGGTGGTGAGTATTATGGAAGAAATGACGAAACTGGACAACACCCTGGTCCATTTGCTAAATTCCTTGAAAAACGTGGCATATGTGCTCAATACACAATGCATGGCACTCCACAACAAAATGATGTGGCAGAAAGGCGTAATCGTACATTAATGGACATGGTTAGGAGTATGTTGAGTAATTCATCTTTACCCATCTCATTGTGGATATATGTATTAAGGACTGCCGTATACTAGGGTTCCTAGTAAAGCAATCCCAAAAACTCCTTTTGAACTTTGGACTGGTAGGAAACCTAGTTTGAGGCACCTGCATATTTGGGGTTGCCCGGCAGAAATAAGAATTTATAATCCACATGAAAAGAAACTGGATTCAAGAACAATAAGTGGTTTCTTCATTGGTTATCCAGAAAAATCAAAAGGGTATAGATTTTACTGTCCAAATCACAGTACGAGAATAGTTGAAACTGGAAATGCTAGGTTAATTGAGAATGGTGAAAATAGTGGGAGTGAGGAACCACATGATGTGGAAATTAAAGAAATCAGGATGCAAGTTCATCTACCCTGCCCTTCTTTTAAACTTGTTGTTCCTGAAGTTGTTGTACAACCTAACAATCAGCAAGAACAACAAATAAATGATCCTACTACTAACAATAAAATTGCAGTTAATGAGCCTACAGTAGATGAACCACAAGAAGGTCTCAAAGACAAAAAAGATCTGCTATTTCATATGATTATTTTGTTTATCTACATGAGTCAGAAATTGACTTTGGAATTGATAATGATCCAGTTTCATTTTCACAAGCCATTGGAAGTAATAATTCTGGTAAATGGTTAGATGCTATGAAAGATGAGTTGAAGTCTATGGAGCAGAATAAAGTTTGGGACCTTGTTGAATTATCGGAAGGTTGCAAAAGAGTCGGGTGTAAATGGGTCTTTAAGACCAAACGCGACTCAAATGGCAATATTGAACGTCACAAGGCCAGACTTGTTGCCAAAGGTTTCACTCAGAAAGATGGCATTGACTATAAAGAGACATTTTCACCGGTCTCTAGAAAGGATTCACTCATAATTATAATGGCTTTAGTAGCTCATTATGATTTAGAGCTACATAAAATGGATGTAAAAACCGCCTTTTTAAATGGAAATTTAGAGGAAGAAGTTTATATGGATCAACCAGAGAGGTTTGCCATTAAAGGAAAGGAACACATGGTGTGTAAACTTAAGAAATCAATATACGGACTTAGAAAAGCTTCCCGACAGTGGTATCTTAAATTTAACGAAGCTGTTGTTACATTTGGATTTAAAGAAAACACTGTTGATCGGTGTATATATCTGAAGGTCAGTGGGAGTAAGTTTATTATGTTAGTCTTGTATGTTGATGACATCTTGCTTGTTACTAATGATCTTGGTATGATGTATGACACCAAGAAATTCCTTTCTAATAACTTTGAGATGAAAGATATGAGAGAGGCATCATATGTGACCGGGATAGAAATATTCCGAAATAGATCACTAGGATTATTGGGATTGTCTCAAAAAGCCTATATTAATAAAGTGTTAGAGAGATTTAGAATGAAAAAATGCTCATCAAGTCCCGTTCCAATTCAGATCGGGGATAAATTTAGTCTTAATCAATGTCCAAAGAATGAATTGGAACGTATGCAAATGAAAGATATTCCTTATGCATCTATAGTTGGGAGCTTGATGTATGCCCAGACATGTACAAGACTAGACATCAGTTTTGCTGTTGGAATGCTAGAAAGATATCAAAGTAATCTAGGGATGGACCACTGGAAGGCTGCAAAGAAAGTGTTGCGTTACTTGTAAGGAACGAAAGATTATATGCTCACTTATAGAAGATCTGATCATCTTGACGTGATTGGATATTCAGATTCAGATTATGCTGGTTGTATAGATACAAGAAAATCTACATTTGGTTATTTGTTCTTGTTAGCCGGAGGAGCAATATCATGGAAGAGTGCGAAGCAGCCTGTCATAGCTGCGTCCACTATGGAAGCTGAATTTGTGGCATGCTTTGAGGCTACAGTTCATGCTAATTGGCTGCAAAACTTTATTTCAGGACTTCGACTAGTCGACAATATTGCCAGGCCGCTGAAAATTTATTGTGATAATTCCGCATCAATCTTCTTCTCTAAGAACGACAAGTATTCGAAGGGTGCTAAGCATATGGAAGTGAAATACTTTACCGTCAAAGAAGAAGTCCAGAAACATAAAGTGTCAATTGAACATATTAGCACTAAACTTATGATTGCCGATCCTTTGACGAAAGAATTACCGCCTAAAATATTTGTTGAACATGTTGAAAGAATGGGCATTCTTAATAGCAATGTATGACTTTATCTAAAGACTTTTTTATATTTATGAAATTGACACTTTGAGCTCATTTAAACATATGTTTTTGATATTCTATACTTGTTTTCTCTTGTATACATAATATTGAGAATAACGATGAAAGGTTCAGGCTTAGATAAAGATATTCTAAATATTAACGTTGGACCTATTAAGTATTACTTTTACAGATTGTATAGGGTAATAGACTGATATTGTAGTACATGGAAGGGACTATATCGAGTAAGTGATGTACAACCGCCATGACTCATATTAGTTTACTTATTCAATAACAACGAGTGATGTTTCCAATAAAGGAGAATTTAACATTTTATTGTGCACATAATGATTGAAATATTTATTAAACCATTAAGTGAGTAACATCACGTGCACCAAGTGGGAGAATGTAAAATATGGCCCACGTGAGTATTTTGGTTTAATAAAATATATTTTGTTAAATTAATATTTGGATAAAATTAGGGGAAATTAATTATGGTTATAACTCCCCACTAACCCACTTTGATGAAAAGTGTGAATTAACCAATGGTCCCTCTCTCTGCCTATTAAAGGAAGAATAGCGTAACTCCATCATATTCTATTCTGAAACGAATACAGAAAAGGTAAAGAGAGAGAAGTACTGATTTTCTCAAGAATGGCAACTCTGAAGAAGACTTCCGCTCAATATTATCAAGAAAACACATCATGGATTCAGGTAATGTTCTTGATTGAAGTTATTGTATATGTATTTTATGTGAAAATCATATAGTTCCTCGGTTCTGAATAATTGATAGGATTCTATATAAATTGTTTATGAATCACAATCTAGAATTGTGAAAATCCTTACAAGAATTATAAGTTGTATATTGACTTTTAAACCAAACATACAACCTCTATATTATTTACGCTGAATGCATATGGAAACATCAAAAGTTTTACGATTTTTTTGTTTAGACACCTCATGTAGATTTTATTTCAATTGAACGCTTGTAGTAGGCCAAAAGTGTACCAAAAAGATATATTTCACCGATATGATTGATAACGTAAGTTACAATGTATAAAATGCTCTTTGGCTTGATGTTGCTCACTGTAGTTTGCTGTAAATGAATCACAATTAGTAGGTTTTTCTAAAAGAAAATAGAGTATTAAGAGATGAAAGTGTGTATGAAATACATTTCTGCGTTGAAATACTCTTAGGATAGCCCGTTTGGCCAAGCTGCAAAAATCAGTTTATTTTGAGAAGTGCTTTTTCTCAAAAGTATTTTTGGTGAGAAACAGTTTGTGTTTGACTAATTAATTTGAAAAGCAATTCTGAGCAGAAATTAGTGTTTGTCCAAGCTTTAAAAAACTGCTTCTAAGTGTATTTTTCTCAAAAGTGCTTTTAGAGAGAAGATATTTTTTTCTGCTTCTCCAAAACTGCTTCTGCTTCTCCGAAAAAGCACTTTTTTTTTCTTTTCAAAAGCTTGGCCAAACACCTTAATTTTAGAAAAAAATACTTTTGACCAAAAAAAGTGCTTGCCTCAAAAGAAGCTTGGCCAAACAGGCTATTAGTAGAGGACAATGAATACGAGCATTATACAGGTGCAACTTAAGCTATCAATATATTAACGAAATATATTTGATTTGTACACTTTAGGACTACTACATTTATTCAAGGGCTTTTTTCACTTTTAGCCCGCGCCAGAAATTATTTATATTTGGCAGCCGAAAACGTGTATAAAATTTGTATAATTTTTGTATATAACATACACAATGTATGTATGTATGTATATATATATATATATATATATATATATATATATATATATATATATATATATATATATATATATATATATATATTTGGCTATTATTTTTAGAGCGATCAATCAGAACAAGGCCTACTTGACATATTTAAATAAAAAAACGTAAAAACTTTAAATGTCTCCGTATGTATTCAACTTATTATCAATTGATGTATTATAAGAGGGCGTTTGGACATAAGAATTATAAAATTTCAAATAAAGTGAAAAAAATTTTCAAGTGAAAATAATATTTTAAAATTAGAGTTGTGTTTGGACATGAATATAATTTTGGGTTGTTTTAGAAGTTTTGTAAGTGATCTGAATAAAATTTTTGAAAAACTGCTTTTTGGAGTTTTTCAATTTTTCAAAAAATTCTAAAATGCATCTTCAAGTGAAATTTAGAAAATTTATGATCAAACGCCGATTTAAAAAAAAAGTGAAATTTTTTCGTAAAAAAGTAAAAGATTTCTTATATCTAATTCATGCCTCCCTAATCCGTGAACATAACTTGTTTTCAAAGCAAACAACTCTGGTCCATCAAAGGGTGCGTTATAGATTACGGATACGATGACGTCAATCATACAGAATTGCACCATATTACCCTACACTACATCGCAGCAAATTCGCACCCAAAATAAATAGAGCGAATCAACTTCGCACTATGAGAAAAAGCTCGTCTTCATCAACTCAACAGCTCGCTGTGAATCTCCAATTTTGACCAAAAACCTAACGGAAAATTCACCGGAAGTCACGATTCCGATATTAAACCTTTATAAAAATGGCGATTTCGACTTTAGCTAGAAGAAAGGCTACAACATTTTTATCATCCCGATTTCTCTACAGCACTTCCAAGTATTCATTTTCTCTGACGAGAGGCTACGCTTCAGGATCCGATGAAAACGACGTCGTTGTGATCGGCGGTGGTCCCGGCGGCTACGTGGCGGCGATCAAAGCCGCACAGCTCGGGCTCAAAACTACATGTATCGAAAAACGTGGTACCCTTGGTGGAACTTGCCTTAATGTTGGTTGTATTCCTTCTAAGGTATTTTCTCGCTCTTTGTTTTAGAATTTCTATATTTAATCACTAAACGAGCTTAGAGTAATATCAAATAATCAAATTAAGATAAATTTTCTTAAAACATGCGGAATGGATACAGAGAAGATGTCAACTAATTTGGAATTGAGGTGTTGTTGATTGATTAACCTTTAGTATCTAGATTTGGATTCTGTGTTTTTATTTCTGTTTTTTTTTCATCTTCATAAAGTTCAGTTTTTTTAGAAATATTAATGTTCATATTGGTTGTTGATTCCACCATTGCTGCGTGCAAACTTAGTTTGTGTTTATGCGTCTTTAATTAGCACGAGGGTAATTACTTCAATTGACAGAATTTTGCATTGGATTCTATATAGCAACTGGACCTCACTCCTAAACAAGATAACGACAGCTATATGAATCCAAATAAGTTGGATTTGGTTATATGTTTAGAGGATTCATCATAATTGGAATATTTTTACTGGCTTCAACATACTGCGACCTGCTTTCTTTTGCCGACTTGGCAGTGGCTATACTCTATGAAGCTCACCTAGGCAGAGGTTATTGCACTGATAAACATTGAGCAAATTACGTGCTTTACAATATCGAGTTCATGCACTCGTTATTGTGGCTTCAGAATGTTTGTCAAACATCAGTTGAGTAATTGACTTGGGTGATTGAGTGAATTAAATGTGTACTATGTGCTTTAGTGGTGTGGCTTGGCAGCTGATTGAAGACTTACTATAAGGATATATTTACTGTATACGACTTCTGGAAGCTGCTTCTGTTTATTATTTTAAAGAGTTTTTTGATAGAATTTATTATTTTGAAAGAGTTGTTTAGAATTGTTAGTTTAGGTCTGGTTATCAGATTTAAATGATTGATAAATTCTTAAAGATTGTAATATATTTTAGTTAATTAATAATTGTTGGACTATCTCAACTAGGTCAAGATAATGTGATACTTCTCTACCAACAGTAACTTTTTTTGTCTCAAACTAGGAAATGGAAGAGCAACGAAATTGCTAACGTAAAATGACGCCGTTTTAACCAACTATAATTTAAGAAAAGCAGTCTCAGAAATCAGACTGATGGTACTTTTAGGCCACACAACAATAACAACTACAATTATGTCTCAAAAAAGCTGGGGTTGGTTATATGAACCCTTGGTGACCATGTTTCTTCCTTTAGATTCGTTTCAAGCCAATATTATACAAAATAAAAAGTACTAGAAGATCTCTATATTTTCCATGAGCATAAAATTCTCTAATAGAGCTAAACTATGTTGCTCGGACTCTCCGAAAATGTTGATGGGAGCGTGTTAGATCCTCCAAAAGTAGATTTTTGGAGGATCTGACACCGGTGCTGCGGCAGCTGTTTTGGGAGTCCGCGCAACATAAGGGCTAAAAGACTCCTAAGAAAGCATAGGACCTAGAGTAAACATAGAGAAAAACCTGCTTGCCATGCCCGATGCCGCTTCTATTGGTAGGTTCTGTGGTGGCCCTGCCTCAATCTCTGACCAAACTCGCTTGTATAAAATCTTGCACATGCTTTTCTCTGCATGCTAACAAAAGAAATTTTGAAAGAAGCAAACACCAAATATGCACCCAAGGGTGTGGACTAATAGTCAATCAAGTGGGTGAAAACCATGGGAAAAGGCTTAAAGTTCAGCAACCACAGAAAAATTGTTTGTAATTTCTTCCTATCTCACTAAGCCTACCCCTTAGTTGTGTTGGTGGAAGGTAGGAGGTACCGCTGAAATGTTCGAGGTGCGGTAGATCTGCCACGCCGTTGTTAAAGGAAAAACACCAAACATTATGCAAGTGCTGACCATTCTGTGGTGATTAAATTATTTCTTCCCATTTTTTTTGTGACAAAAACTATAAATTATTTATGAATATGTTGATTATATTGCTTAGGCATATGCTACAAATCAATTAGGACATTATTGTTGTTGATCTAGAACAAATTTCCTTTTTAGGACAAAATATGATTTGCAACTGCTACTAAAACAGGAAGTCCTGTTCGAGCTAATTGATTTTGGAGGAACCTAGTACTAGTTCCCCAAATGATATGACTTCAGACAGCTCCAGGATATGGGAACACCAGAGAGTATTTGAGTTAGGCCTATGGAAAGCAGATTCAGGCAATTCATGGGAAAGACCATGGAAGAAACTGAGAGCCTCTTAGAAACTCAGTTGGAGGAGAATTGAGTTATGGGAAACTACTGAAAGGGAAATTGAAGTTATGATTTCCAACTTGGTGATGTCATGTATCTTACGGAAAATTATGGGCTCCTGCTTTCACTGCAAACTTCCACATTGTTGGGATGTTTTCTATTTGAATTGGCCGTAAAATGAGAAGGCATGCTATCCCAGTTTTTGTTTTTTATTTTCAGATAGCTTTTCTTTTTTTGTTTCCTTCTTCTACCTTTTTCCAAGGCTACTGAAGGGTGCAACTTAAAAGTGGTTTCTTATGGTTGTGCCTCCAACTTCGCAGATGGGTGTATATGTGCCCAACATTGCTTTCATTGATGCCCTTATATGTGAAATAGTAGTGGGTCCTTTTTGCAAGTGCAGTGACTTAACTTTCCTGAGAGGACATTTTGGTTGGTGATTATATATAATTATAACCTGGTGACAGATTTATTAACTTGTACCCATAGGGTGCATATTCGATATTTGTCTTATGACCTGAACTTAATAATGTCTTTCCCCCTATGTCTTTTGATGACCCATAATCATGGGAGTTCAAGCGCTGGTACTTGCTGCTGTTAATGTGACATCACGGCCCAAGGTTTATGACAAATTATCTTGCCTATGAGTCTGCTTGAAGCTTTAGTGGTCAGTTTTTTGAAGTTTGATACTTCGTGTTTATGTCTAATTTTCTAACATTGTTCTCACTTATCGTGCACAGGCACTTCTTCATTCCTCGCACATGTTTCATGAAGCACAACATTCATTTGCCAATCATGGTGTGAAGTTCTCTTCTGTTGAGGTTGATCTTCCTGCCATGATGGCGCAAAAAGATAAAGCTGTGTCTAACTTAACACGAGGTATTGAGGGTCTATTCAAGAAGAACAAAGTAAACTATGTTAAGGGCTATGGTAAACTCCTCTCCCCTTCTGAAGTTTCTGTCGACACCATTGATGGCGATAACACCATTGTTAAAGGCAAGAATATTATTATTGCAACTGGTTCTGATGTCAAAAGTCTACCTGGTATAACCATTGATGAGAAGAGAATTGTATCATCTACTGGAGCGTTAGCTTTGACAGAAATTCCAAAAAAACTAGTTGTTATAGGTGCTGGTTACATAGGCCTTGAAATGGGATCTGTCTGGGGCCGTCTTGGCTCAGAGGTGACTGTTGTTGAATTTGCAGCTGATATTGTTCCAACCATGGATGGTGAAGTTCGCAAGCAATTCCAGTGTGCTCTTGAAAAGCAAAAGATGAAATTCATGCTTAAGACTAAGGTGGTGTCAGTTGACACTGCAGGTGATGGTGTGAAGTTGACCCTTGAACCTGCATCTGGTGGTGATCAAACTATCCTTGAGGCTGATGTAGTCCTTGTTTCCGCTGGAAGAGTTCCATTCACTTCAGGGCTTGGATTGGACAAAATAGGTGTTGAAACTGACAAGGCTGGTCGAATCTTGGTGAATAAACGTTTTGCCAGTAATGTCCCGGGGGTATATGCAATTGGTGATGTCATTCCTGGGCCAATGTTGGCTCACAAGGCAGAGGAAGATGGTGTTGCTTGTGTGGAGTTCATTGCAGGCAAGGAAGGTCATGTAGACTATGATATGGTTCCTGGTGTCGTTTACACTCACCCTGAGGTGGCTTCTGTTGGGAAAACTGAGGAACAGGTAAAGTCACTCGGGGTTGATTATCGTGTCGGTAAATTTCCTTTCCTCGCAAACAGTAGGGCCAAGGCAATCGATGATGCTGAGGGACTTGTTAAGATACTTGCTGAGAAAGAGACTGACAAGATATTGGGCGTCCATATTATGTCACCTAATGCAGGGGAGCTTATTCATGAAGCTGTCCTGGCATTGCAGTATGGTGCATCGAGTGAGGACATTGCTCGTACTTGCCATGCACATCCAACAATGAGTGAGGCACTCAAAGAAGCAGCCATGGCCACTTATGACAAGCCCATTCACATGTAGACTTGTGTTATATACTCTGGGAGTCTTGTTTTTGTTATTCCTTTGAGAATCTTGAATGCTTAGAATAGGCTTCTTGTTGCTGCCTTTACTCGAGCAGCGCTTTTCCCCCTTCATTTGGGATCCCAAATACATCATATAAATACTCATCGTCTGCATTTTTCCCCATAAATAAAGATGAGATGTAACCTCATATAAATGCCGCTGAGAGTTGGCTTTTGTTTGGGCAATTTCTACGATGTCATTAATAGCCTCTCCGAGTGTACATTTTCTGAATTTTCTGTAGAGTTCAAACATTGCAAGGTCATAGTATATTATGCTCAGATAACAGTCAAGAACTGTGGCAACATATTTTTTGAGCCATCATTTCAACTTCCTTACCTTAAAACAAGCCAGTCAGGAGGTCCAAGAACTATTTAATATCTTTATGGTATTTGCAATCACGATCTGTCAGTTCAAAATAACTAAGGGGTATTAGGTAAAGTATCAATGTGTAAATGATTTTTTCCTGCAATTACAGTAAGTATCTTATGTATTTTCCCAAAAATCTAACATGTATTATGTTAAAATAGTTCCTCTACTTGTGTACAGATTTGTTCTGTTTTTATGGACATTGCTTCTCAGTGATAATCGAACTGAATTCATTGGATTTTATTCTGATTTCATTGTCCACAAATTTTCAGTTATTCTAATTAATTAGGAGTAACAAATCCGTTAATTTGCTTCAATAAGATAAAGGAAATGGTCCAAATTTGTCCTAAAACTTTGTGAAATGTCTATATATGCTACCGGTAAATAGTTTATGTCAATTATATCCTTGCTCTTACAGAGTGGCACACATATGACTGACGGTTCTTCATTAGAGATTAATTAAACTCTAATAAGTCTAATTAGTTCAATAAGTTTTTATATGTCTTAGTTTTAACCTAACTCATTTACCTAGTAAATACTTATCTCCACCGAGTGTTTATATTAAATCAAACTATTTCATCGTAGTACTCAAAGTTTAGTAGGTATTTGGATATAGATTTGGTTGAAACTTGGAAAAATTCGAAATTGAAGTTGTGAATGAATACTATGTATTTTAGTTGAAAATAAATTAAAATTTTGCGAGCGAAAGAATTTATTTAAAAAAACTAATAAAGGGCCAAATATACCCCCGTACTATCAGAAAAGGTTTAAATGTATCTCTCGTTATACTTTGAGTTCAAATGTACCCCTGTCGTTATACTATTGGTTCAAATATACCCCTTTTCCGATAAGTTTGTCCAAAGTGGACATCCAATCCTACGTGGCACAGGTAGATGCCACATGGCTTGCCACCTCAATGCCCATAACCCATTTTACCCCTCCTATCTATTTTTTTTCCACCACTAAAATTTTATTCCCTTCAACCACCATTGCCACCATTACCGCTACCATGAAAAATATTATATTTCAAATTTTAATCTTTTATATATGGATTAGAGGTGTTGAGGTGGCATGCCATGTGGCATCCACCTCATCAAATATCAGTGACACGTAGGATTGGACGTCCACCTTGGACAAACTTAACAGAAGAGGGGTATATTTAAACCAATAGTATTACGGCAGGGATATATTTGGACCTAAAATATAACGAAGATTATATTTATAACCTTTTCTCATAGTACAAGGATATATTTGGCCATGTGCCGTTTTATTTTTTAAATGTCCAAATGATGTTTAGCTTAAAGCATATATATATTTTTATATATATCTCCTCATATTTTACTTTTGTTTTGTGAATTTGGGATGTTAAATGCTATGAGTTATATTAATTTGAAGTGTTTTTACTTGTAGGAATGATTCAGGAGCAATTGGGGGCGAAAAACGCAAGATTTGAGCTAAAACGAACAAAACCGGAAAAAAAATGCCATTAGGGCGCCTGGTGCTAGCCAGGGCGCTGGTGAGGTGAATTTTCTCCAATTTCGCCCGGGATAAGGTTATTTCGGCCCTAGACCTATCCAACACGTATAAAAGGAGACTAAGCCTATTTTTGGGAGGAGTAGACGCCACTTTGGGAGTAAATCACACACGGGATCGTGAGGAAGCGGAGAATTCTCAGTTTTCTTCATCTTTTTCTAGTATTTTCAATTGATTCAACAATTATGCAATTGTTTGATTACATCATGAGTGGCTAAACACCCATTGTTCTGGGGTTGTGATTTAGCCATGAATATTGTTGTTTGATATTAGCTTGACCTTGATTATAATTCACCAATATATGGTTGTTTCTTCAATTCTGTGTTTAATTGCTTAATTGTCTGGCCAGCAGTTAGGTTCTATTTACTATCTATGCTATGCTTGGGAAAACCGTGTTTAGATTAGAGAAGAATTGAAGAGAGCATGATCTTAACCCTTAGGGGGAGCGGATTTGTGGTTAGGATAGGAATATACCTAGTCACCGTGCTTAATTAAATATCGTAATCTTAATGCGTTCTTAATAGATTGATTCCATAGGAATATAGGCGTTAATCTATTTTGAATAGGCGAGTAGTACTTCGGGAGAAGGCTATGAGAGAATTTATCGATTAATTAGCAACCATGAGTGAATTGTATGAGAGGGAGAGTTAACTAGAACACAATAGGATTGGTGAATCGATCACAACCCTGGAATACTTGTCTCTACTGAAAAATACACTACAATCAATTCGTTACTTGATAATTTAGTTATTATTTAGAATTGTAGTATAATATAATCATCTTATTGGACATTGATTTTAGCTGGATTGAATAACAATTTTAGTGATTTAGTGAGTAGTTTATAAAAGTCTCTGTGGGTTCGATACTCAACTTATCATTATATTACTTGTCGACCACGTATACTTGCGTATGCGTTTGGGGCAAGTGAACTGGTTAAGAAGAATTTGTGATCTTCTGTGCTATCCTGTGTAGTCTAGAACTTGCCCCGTGTGTTAATTGAAGCGAAATTGTAAGTTGTGCTAATCTAGGAGATGACATAGGCATTTTCTTGCTTGATCATAGATGTGCTTGTCACATAAGAAAATAAAATTTTTCGTAGCTAGCCCATTTGAGCCTATAGACCTTTTCTTTGGCAACCACATTACAAGCCATACCCCCATTTTGTTCTTAATTTGATATTGATTGAACCTTTACCTCCTAAGGCACTTAGTCGCTAAAAGAAGTAAGGTTAGAGATTGGGGAGTAGCTTTTTGTGAAACCATGGAAGGGCCCGTTGGTGCACTAAAGTTGAAATCAAAAGTCACTAGCCGATGAACTTTAATGTATGGAGTGTGTGAAGAGAAGAAAAAAAAAGAGAAGGAAAAGAAGAATTGCAAGAAAAGAGAAAAAAAATATGATAGTTCAAATAATATAGAAAAACACACACCTCCAATTCTTCTTGATTTGTGCTAGTGGAAATATAGAAGTGCTTAATTAAAAAGAGGGCCATGTTGCATATAGTTTGGGGCAAGTGAACTGGTTAAGAAGAATATGTGTTTGAGTTGCGAGTCTAGTGTATTAAAGTGCTTAGAAGGGTTAGTCACTATTCCTAAATATATCCTACCCGTCCCTTAGCCTACATTACAACCTTAAAAGTCCTAATTGATCCTAGATTTGGCTAGCTTAAATTAGTGGAGATCTACACTACGGGCAAGCTTATGTACGATCACGTGATGCATATGAATTCTTTGTGAGAGTGAGTGAATTTGGTTCAATTGTGTGATGTCCTTAAATTATGTTCAAAAGCATATTTGAATGTGTGGACTAGTCTATATTCACTCTTTCGATTGTTGGAGAGGACACATGATCTCATGAGCGATTGGTAATGTTGTAAACCTTCTTGTTGGGTAAGTGCGTGAGTTGAGAGGGCTTAGTGGTTACAAGTTGAATTTTGAGGTTGGATGGTGACGAATAGGTTGTTGGAATTTATTGAATTGAAATATTATACTTGGGTATGCTTAAACGGGAAGAATGTGAAATTTTGTGTGTTCATGCTTGTGTGCCCGTATTGATCATAGTCAAGGGTATAGTGTATGGTTAAAAGTTAAAGTGCTCCTCCATAATTGAGACTTATACGTAGTTGGGGGTTTATCTGATAGTCCCATTGCTCGAGGACGAGCAAGAGTCTAAGTGTGGGGTGTTGATGTTTAGCTTAAAGCATATATATTTCTATGTATATCGCCTCATATTTTACTTTTGTTTCGTGATTTGGGATGTTAAATGCTATGATTTATATTAATTTGAAATGTTTTTACTTGTAGGAATGATTCGGGAGCAATTGGGGGCGAAACGCGCAAGACTTGAGCTAAAACGAACAAAACCGGAAAAAAATGCCATTAAGGCGCCTGGCGCTAGCCAGGGCGCCGGTGACGTGAGTTTTTTCCAATTTCGCCCGGGAGAAGGTTATTTCGGCCCTAGACCTATCCAACACGTATAAAAGGAAGACTAAGCCTGTTTTTGGGAGGAGAGACGCCACTTTGGAGTAAATCACACACGGGATCGTGAGGAAGCGGAGAATTCTCAATTTCTTCATCTTTTTCTAGTATTTTCAATTGATTCAACACTTATGCAATTGTTTGATTACATCATGAGTGGCTAAACACCCATTGTTCTGGGGTTGTGATTTAGCCATGAATTTTGTTGTTTGATATTAGCTTGACTTTGATTATAATTCACCAATATATGGTTGTTTATTCGATTATGTGATTAATTGCTTAATTGTCTGGTCAGCAGTTAGGTTCTATTTACTATCTATGCTATGCTTGGGAAAGCCGTGTTTAGATTAGAGAAGAATTGAAGAGAGCATGATCTTAACCCTTAGGGGGAGCAGATTTGTGGTTAGGATAGGAATATACCTAGTCACCGTGCTTAATTAAATATCGTAATCTTAATGCGTTCTTAGTAGATTGATTCCATAGGAATATAGGCGTTAATCTATTTTGAATAGGCGAGTAGTACTTTGGGAGAAGGCTATGAGAGAATTTATCGATTAATTAGCAACCATGAGTGAATTGTATGAGAGGGAGAGTTAACTAGAACACAATAGGATTGGTGAATCGATCACACCCTGGATTACTTGTCTCTACTGAAAAATACACAACAATCAATTCGTTACTTGATAATTTAGTTATTATTTAGAATTGTAGTATAATATAATCATCTTATTGGACTTTGATTTTAGCTGGATTGAATAACAATTTTAGTGATTTAGTGAGTAGTTTATACAAGTCTCTGTGGGTTCAACACTCAACTTATCATTATATTACTTGTCGACCATGTATACTTGCGTGTGCGTTAGGGAGCAACACCAAACTATAGCTTAAAGTAAGAATATAAACAAATAATAAAATATAAAAAAATAACGTATCTCGATGCAACCCTATTCTCATCTCATTTCTCTTTCTTAGTACTTTATTTTAGTTACATGTAGAAAACTTGGTTGGTAGCTAGATCACAGATACCATTTCAGCCATTCTCAGAGGTACGCCATTTTTATCTTTGTTTCAGTACTGTATCTTTTGTGCTAAATTTACCCCTTTGTTTTTGATACTCATATTCCCTTTTCTTATTTTCTTTTCTCAAAGTAATTATTGCAATTTATTAAACGTAGAACACTTTTTAGTAGCTGACAAAGCTTTAGCTCCTTAATTGCACATTTTGCACTAGATATAGTACAGATCTATATAGAACAAGTGTATATTTAGGATATATCCAATATTTTGGAAGATGCATAAAGATATAGATTCAAAAGTTATATCAAGATGTTAACGGGTTATAAAAACAGGGAAATTATTGCTTTCCTGAGCCGAGAGTCTATTGGAAACAGCCTCTCTATCCTCACATGGTAGGGGTAAGGTGTGCGTACATACTATCCTCCTCCCCAGACCCCACGGTGTGGGGATAAGACCGGGTATGTTGTTGTAAAAACAGGGAAATTATGGATTCACGATTGAGACTGTTATAGACTTCTAATGCTCTTAGATTGTTATGGTTTTCATTTGTCAATGTTTTTTTTTCTTTTTGACAAAGAGTATCTGGAAATTGTACATCAACATTTGTACTTTCACTTTTGAAACAAAATACATCCTAATTGGAATGTAATATATGTGCATTTTACTTCACAAGGCATGAATTCTAACAAATTAAATTTCAACTTATTGTACCTAATGTAAAGAGTTTATCGTGGAACTTTAATGCTTTTGTATAGCACATTTTCGCAATTTCGCAAATCATGTTGTTTATAGCACCATTGACCTCTTGCAGTTTGCAGCTTTCAGGTCATACAAAGGGGAATTCAGTAGATATGGCTTATGCTAGTGTTGCTTCTTGAGATCCAAATTTGTGACTACAGAGAAGAATTTCTCGCTCGTCGTGAAGAAGTTAGTTAGTTCCTTACAAATATTTCTCAAGAGCTTATGAGAAAAGCAAGGATTCTGGGGAAATGATAGATTTGGTAGCACAAATAAAAGAAGCTGCGAATGTTGTTGACGCACAATTCAATTGAGGCTAACAAAAGCTCTATTGTCAAATGATATAATGCAGAAAGAAAAGGCACATGAAACGCTTTGTGTTAGCCTGCAACAAGTAGAAGGAGATATTGATCGAGTCCAGAAAGAGTCGATAAAGATTCAAGATAAAGGAAAACAAACATCAAACAAATCTTTGGTTCAAGATTCAAGTTCAGCAAAACATATTCTACTTATTAAGAACAACATGGTGGGACGTAATGATGAAACAAGATCGTTAGAAGATCTGACTAGAATCTTCTTTGGTGAACCCAAAGTCATCATGATTGTCGGCATGGGATGTATCGGTAAGACAAAAGTAGGGAAAGAAGTTTTCAATGATTTATTTATTCGATCTCATTTTGACGTTTGTGCATGGCATGAAGTGAGAGAATGCTTTCCAAGTCAAAAACAATGGGAGTCGAATATTGTTGATCACCCTTTCCTTAAACTAAAAAGAGTCGACGGACTCTTCTATTCTACTCTCTATGGGAATTCGAAGCTGTGAGGACGACCCGCGCACTTAGTTCCTTTCGTTCCTGGAGAAGGGCCTTTTTCCTCTCTTCCAGCCTACGAATGTGGTTCCGGATCTCTTGCATCATATTTGCTACGGCCTCAGGGTCAAGAGGAGGCAAATGTACCCACTCTCTTCCAAACCGCGAATATGATTCCGGATCTCTTGCATCACATTTGCTACGGCCTCAAGGTCGAGAGGAGGCAAATGCTCCCCGTCTTTTCCAGACCGAGAATGTGGGAATGTGGTTGCGGATCTCTTGCATCATATTTGCTATGGTCTCAGGGTCGAAAGGAGGCAAATGCTCCCAGAACAGTCCTAGCCTTTGTTCCGATTGGAGCTCGTAATGATGAAGTAGCTTGTTATGCTAGTACGGAGAATTTTTTTTTACAGATGGGCTTCATGAATCCAAATGAGAGTTGGAACCTTTTTTAAAGCGTGGTGTTTGCAAATGAAATAACACCATATGAATTCGAGACTATTGGCAAGCAAATTGTAGACAAATGTCAAGGGTTACCACTAACTATTATTGTGGGCCTGTGGTTCCTGGGCTTCTATCCAAATTTGGAAGGAGAATAAAAGATTGGGAAGCTGAAAATGTCTAAGTCATTTGTCAGTATTGATCCTGATGAACAATGTTTATATGTGCTTGGGTTTGAGTTACAATCACTTGATCAGTGACCTAAAAGCATGCTTTCTGTATTGTTGGATATTTCCCGAAGACAATGTGATTTCAGCGTAGAGATTGGTGAGATTATGGATGGCTGAGGGGTTTCTGAAGTTGGAAAAGACTTGAAAGGAGAGGCTGAAGAAGTATTTACAAGATCTTATCGATAGATGTCTAGTTATCGTATGCAAGAATTGTAGGTATGAAACAAAAATTAATTCATGTAATGTTCATGATCTAATATTCGAGCTGTGTTTGAGAGAACTTCAAAGCCAAAACAACTTTTTCGTCATGAATGACATTGTATTCGGTTATTGGGATGCAGAAAAAGCTCAAAGCCATGATATTGTATTTGATGATGAGCCAAATCCTGATCCTTCAGAATGTCATCATCTTAGTAGGTATAAAATGCGGCCTTTTAAGCAATGGGCTGATGATAATAGGTACTTTGATTTTTATAGGGCCATTCCTACCCCTGGAAATCATCAGTTGATTAGGAGGCAAAAGATAATGATGAAAACAACCTCTTCAAACGAACTCGTTCTATTTTCTCTTGTCCTACCTTATCAGAAAACCAAAAAAGAGAAATATTCGGTTCTTATAGGTTTTCTTTATCATTTACTCTCAACTCAGAGCTTTGTCATGTCAATTTACTCAGAATCTTGGACTTTAAGTTGTTTGAAAGCTGCTTGTGGAGTATCCAATTGCAAGGGGATTTACTTGTTTGGTGTTTTTGCGAATTGAGATGATTGATCTGATGTACCGGAAAACCACTTATGACAATTTTCCTGTCATTATTAGAAATTGCAATAATTTGGAAGAGATACCCATTGAGTTTGCAGATATCAACTCACTACAACTAATTGAGATAAAATGGTGTGAGCCCGAAATCGAGGCCATTGAGCTCCTCTTTGCCTGTCTGCTTCAGGTTTGCTCTGACTATGCTTCAACACGTTTACTGTATTCATTTGTGTTTTTCATATCTCCTCCTTCTACTGATTTTTACAAAATTGTTAACACTTTCAAAAAGCTTCTTAACTAGTAGTGTCATTTGTCTATGGATAGATATACATTTGAATGTAACTTGGAAAAGAAAAGGGAACATATTATGCCTACTTACTAGTAATGGACAATATTCATTCCGCTGCAACGTTCATTTGTTTAAGAATTAGAAGTAAAATATGAGGAGCTAACAGGTTTAAAAAAATTCGAAACTTTATAGATCATTATACTATATGATTAAGCTTGTAATTTTTTTGACAGGCGGAAGAGATGGCTCAGACATCATGCTGAGAATTCTCCTATTTTCATGTAGTTAGAATATCTTGGTAAGTATGATATTGGAGCTAATATCCTCCCATTCTGTAACTCATTCACAACAACAACGACGACCAATTGTATTCCACCAAGTGGAGTCTGAGGAGGGTGAGATGTACGCAATCTTACCCCTACTCTGGACGGGCAGAGAGGCTGTTTTCGATAGACCCTCAGCTCTGTAACTCATTCATCCCTAGACCAAATATTGCAATGGGTTCTTTGGTAGCGTTACATGTTTGTCTCAACCCAAGCTTAGGTGAGAATTCGTCACTCGTCACCATAAGGTCACGAGCTCAAGCAGTACAAACAGTCTCTTGCAGAAATGTAAGATAAGGTTGCGTCCAAATAATCCAATATATCCAATGTGGTCCGGTGATTCTTCAGGCCTCGCACATAGCAAGAGTTTAGTACATCGGATTGTCCTCTTGATAGGCTCGAAAATCTCATCCGGAGCTAGAAAATATTTTTATGGATCAATAAGCAATGTGTAGTGTCATCATCTGATAAATGTGAAATTAGTAGTTACTTTTAACAAAACGATTCCTCATTTTGATTATCGTTTAATTTACAGGCAAGCACTTGTAGTCTTACATTGTAAGAGAGAGTTAACATGATGTCATAGTAAAGGAAGAATCTAATCAGCGACTAGTCTTCGGATTAATGTTTCTTTGATAAAAACTTACCTACACCGAGTATTTAGATCGAATTAATAAATGCAAATTGCAATACATATATCTTTTATATACATTTTCTTTAATCATTAACTATTAAGGTTAAGTTACTAATTTGGTGTAAACACCCAATGCGAGTATTTATCTGTTTTTCTCCTTTGTTAAATAATGAATTGATGACCGCAAGTAAAAAATAACTGAGTTCTGAATATAACATTGTTGCTATGATTATTGTTGTTGTGCAGCAGTGGAAAGTGTAATATGTATTACTCCCTCCGTTTCAGTTTATGTGAACCTATTTTCTTTTTGGTCCGTTTCAAAAAGAATGACCCCTTTCTAAATTTGAAAACAATTTAGCTTAAACTTACAATTCTACCCTTAATGAGGAGCTTTTATAACCACACAAACACTCTGGCCCCTTTTTGACTTATTTAGGACCACAAATTTCAATAGTCTTTATTTTTCTTAAACTCCGTGCCCTGTCAAACAGGTTCACATAAATTGGAACGGAGGAGTAACACAAAACATAATACACTAGTTATACTCAAAATGGAACTTAACATAGAACTCAACACTGAGAAACTAATTGACATGAGGTGGATCTAGTCTTTTGGTTATGGGTTCATTTGAACCCTGAAGACAAGAAAAAAATTAAAAATATATATATATATATATATATATATATATATATATATATATATATATATATATATATATATATATGAATGTTAGGCCAAATCTTAATTAATGATTTTAGTACAAGGTTGATGGTGTAGAGGACAAACAAAATTCTCATTGTGGGGAATTTAGAGCCCGTTTGGATTGCCTTATTTTAAGTGCTTTTAAGCCAAAATAGTTTTTAAGTCATTTTGTAGTGTTTGGATGAAGTAAAAGAAATGCTTTCAAGCACTTGTTTTTAAGCTAAAATGACAAAAATAAGCCAAAAGCTAGAATTCCTAATTTATGACTTTTGGCTTAAAAGTCACTTACAACAAGTCCATCCACACATGCTCTGAAATTAGTTTGGACTCGTCGAAAAAATAGTTTCTAAGTAGACCCATGCTGATAAGATTTTGCGTAAAAATGGCGTGAGGTAGCCACTAAGTAAGATGGTCTTTATTTTTTATCCACTAATTCTAATGCTGAGCAAAAATAGCCACTACTCTATTAAAATTGTTCTGAAAAGACAGTTTTACCTTTTCTTCAATTCTCATATTCCCAAATCCTTATTTTATTCGTTCAGAGGCAAAAATTGAGAGCGAAAATTTCAGAGGCAAGTTTCCCGTGCTCTTTCGCATGCAAACCAGCTCACTAAATCTTTCTCCTTCTTCTCTGTCATCTTCTATGCATTGACCGATCAAATTGGTATTTTTTTTTTGCTTTTTTGCATTTTTGTTTTTGTATATGTGTAATCTCGATCAATGCTTTGTCAAGTATGTGTGAAATTTCAAAAATAATGATTATAAGTTGATTTAGTGTCGAATAAGTAGCAGATTTTTGTGAGGAAGTTATTCAGAAATTTTTGGTATTGAAATGTGTTTGTGGTTCAATCAATATATTTGATTATGTAAGGACATTTCATAAAAATAGTCGTCCGAATTCATAAGCTACCCGTGTTTATGAATTTTTAGTTAACTGTGTTCATAAAAGTTAAGAACCAATTGTCATTAACTTTTGAACTTGGAACTCAAAGTTAAGGACTGAGTGTCCTTAACTTTTGAACTTGAAATTTGAAGTTAAGGACAAAGTGTCCTTAACTTTTGAACTTGGAATTCAAAGTTAAGGACCAGCTGTCCTTAACTTTTGAACTTGTAATTCAAAGTTCAGGACCAAGTCTCCTTAACTTTTGAATTTGGAATTCAAAGTTAAGGACCAGCCGTCCTTAACTTTTGAACTTGAAATTTGAAGTTAAGGACCAAGGGTCCTTAACTTTTTAACTTGGAAATCAAAGTTAAGGACCAACTATCCTTAACTTTTGAACTTGGAATTCAAAGTTAAGGACCAACTGTCCTTAACTTTTGAACTTGGAATTCAAAGTTAAGGACCAGTTGTCCTTAACTTTTCAAATTGAAACTATAAGTTAAGGACTGTCTGTCCTTAACTTTTGAACTTGAAACCTGAAGTTAAGGACCAAGTGTCCTTAACTTTTGAACTTGAAAGTTGAAGTTCAGGACCTATTGTCCTTAACTTTTTAACTTGAAACTTGAAGTTTAGGACCAAGTGCCCCGAACTTTTCAACTTGTAAATGTAAGTCCTATCTTTTAGTCTTAATCTTTTATGTTCTTTTTCCTTCTTTGTAGTGTGCTAATGGAAGGAGATTATGTGTTCGACTTTGATGTTTGGCGTAATTTAGTGAGCTATTGGAAAGGAGATTTACAGTATAAGGAAACAATCAAAAGTTTTTTGTCGAACAGGCAGTGGAAGAAGCTGAGGGATAGTATTTTCGGAAACTTTTTCCGATTACAAAGTGTGAAGTTCTGTGGTAAACTTATTTGTTGTGTATTGCTTTCAGAAATTGTAAGTAATGACCCTGATTCGATCACATTCAAGGTTTTTGATTGTGAAATTAAGTTTACTCGTGAAGCATTTCATATAGTTATTGGTTTGAAGTGTTATTCTTCACCGGACATCAAAGGTTTGCATGAAAAAGAGAATAGGCTTTCGAAAGTCTATTTCCCCGGAAAGGATAGAGTTGAGTTGGGTGATTTGTATAATTTTATTACCAGTCACCCAAATGGTACATCTGCTTCATTTGTAGGCAGCGATGACGATGCTGTGAAGTTGGCAACAATTTATTTTGTTGAATATGTTTTGATGGGGAAGCGGAAGAATAGGAATGTGTCCGAGCGGATAATGAAAATTGTTGATGATGATGAACTCTGCTCTTCTTTCAACTGGGGCTCTCTTTGTTATGAAACGTTATTAAAATCATTGAAGACTTGTTTGAAGCCCAATGAGAATGAGAATGAGAAAGAGAAAGACAAAGATAAAGACAAGGATAACTAGACTGTACTTAGCTTTCCTTTTGCTCTTTGTGTTTGAATTATGGAAGTATTGCCTATTTTCCAGGAAAAACAATTTGTAAACTTCCGAGAATGTGGTTTTCCTCAGATGTTATGTTATTCGGAAATGAAATCTCCACAATATGATTCTCTGTGTAAAAAATACTTCCATAATGAAAATGTAAGTTAATCTAATTACTAGCTTCTTCTTTTTTTGTTTATTTGTTTTAGCTCTGAAAACTTATGTTTTTTTTGTTATGTAATAGGTGTATCAGTTTATCGAGGTAGCACCATTTATTCCTGTTGAAGAAGATACAAAGCCTGTTAGTGTGCATGAGCCAATGCCTTCTCAAGATCAAAGCCCAATGCCTTCTTCCATACAATTTGATGAAGCATGCTTAAGAAAATTGTTAAAGTAGGTTTTTTGTCTTTGAATAGCATTAGGTTTTTATTTGATTGTATTTTGCTTAAGAGACTTTTTTGTTTTTTTGGTATTTGATTCAGAAATTACCAGAGCAGTTTAAACAGTATCTGCATGCTGAAGTTACTAGAATAAATCAAAAAATAGCTGTATCAGAAAAAAAATTCAAAATGATATCAAGGTAATATCATTAATTTCAGTTAGTCTAAGTTCAGGAGCTTGTGTCTGTAACTCAAAGTTAACGACTGCATGTCCTAAACTTTTTTACTTGTAAGTCTAAGTTAAGGACCATCTGTCCGGAACTTTTGAACTTGAAACTTGAAGTTAAGGACCTATTGTCCTTAACTTTTGAACTTGAAATTCAAAGTTAAGGACTGCATGTCCTTAACTTTTGAACTTGAAACTTGAAGTTTAGGACCAAGTGTCCTTAACTTTTGAACTTGTAAGTCTAATTTCAGGACCACCTGTCCTGAACTTTTGAACTTGAAATTTGAAGTCCAGGACCAAGTGTCCTTAACTTTTCAATTTGAAACTTGAAGTTCAGGACCTATTGTCCAGAATTTTTTTACTTGTAATTCAAAGTTAAGGACTGCATGTCCTTAACTTTTGAACTTGAAACTTGAAGTTTAGGACCAAGTGTCCTTAACTTTTGAATTTGTTATTCTAAGTTAAGGACTGCCTGTCCTTAACTTTTTTACTTGTAACTTGAAGTTTAGGACTTCCTGTACTTAACTTTCTAACTTAGTTTTTCTCACAGGATTTAAAGAAAAGTCTAGGATCAAAGATTGATACTTTGTTGAAGATTTTTGTGAAACCTGATGAAAGGAATATAGAGAAAGAATCTAGTGTTCCAATTACTAAAGATGGAGTTGATCATTGTGATGGTACAGAACCTACTGTTATAATTAACAAAGATGCATGTGGTGATGAATGTGATGATATGGATGTGCATGGAGAAGTCCAGTATGAAAGCGATTATAGAGATGCACATTTAGATGATGAAACTGATATTGGCACTGAAATTGGGAAAGGTTAGATATAGATTTTGAATTTTTTGTCATTGAAATTTATATCAATAGCGTAATACATATAAACTTTTTTGTGATTGCAAATATAAGTAGAATCTATTGATGGAGTGAAAGTTCAAGATGTAGTACAATGTCAAGACGAAGAAAATCCAAAAGAGATAGGAGTGACAGAAAAAATTTGTAAATGTGGAGTGCAATCTCAGGATTTAGAAAGTCCATTGGGAACAAGTGTCAGTGAGATTGTATGCAATTGTTTAGAAGGAACATATGATATGTCTACACCTCTGTCATATAAAGAGAAATTTGGAGTTCAAAATTGTACCAATCAAGGTTAGATGATTTTATGATATGTTGAATGTTAGTTTTAGTGAACTATTTGAATAGGTATTAATTGTAAATGTTACAGAATCTTTTGAAGCTGCAAGGGAAGAAGATGGAGTGGGGTATCAAGAGAAAAGTGGAGTACAATCTCAAGACTTAGAAAATACCCAAGAAACAAACATAAGTGAGATTGTT